AAAAAAGGGGATAACAAAAAAGCATAGCCAGGGGAACTTGGCAATTTATCATTTATGATTACAAAGATGTGGTCAGGGGATCCAAAGGACAACTTTGGGACATGTGACCTTCTGAAGTTTTGTTGTAATCTAGGCTATTCATTTTGCTAAAATGAATTTTGAAAAATTTTAACATCAAACATGCATATCAGTGACCCAAAATGACGTTCAATATTGAATATCTGATAATGTTTTTTTTTCAGCTCTGATTATTCATCTAGAATGGTCTCGCTTATGGCGGCTACCTTAGTAATTGACAATGACCAACTTCACCGATGACCACCACATGCCGCCCCTTCATTGGCCCCGTTGGAAGGGAACAATGACAAGCTATCAAAACTTTTGTGAACACAGCCAACATGAGGGACTGGTGACCGGAGAGTAGTGCCGATTTCATTCCAACTTTAATGATTGTACGGTGGCGGTAAAGTACAAGGCAAAGTACAATATTGAGAGCAGTCACGCCCACAGGAGGGTGAATCTCAGAAAGGGAAAAGTTTGGGCCAAAACTTCACACGCTCAGTGGGGGAACCACCACCATTGTGATGCAAGAAAACTTAATATTTTAACTTGCTCTTAAGTACATATGTTTCAGCCAACGCTTCGAAGTCTTTTCGATGGGTAGACGGTTAGTCTTATTCCAATAATGCGAACAAAATCGGCCAATGAATTTAGATATACATACATGTGTGGCAAATAAAAAACAAGAAACAAAGTTACAATTGACTGTTATCGACTGCGAAATATATAGAAATCCAGTGCTTAAATTAAATAACAATGAACTTTTGCACCATCTTTCCAAGACTGAAATACTTCCCCCATACTTAACTACAATTAAATGTTTAGAACAAAACACAAATATAGATATAAAATTGTTTAATATATGAAAAAGTTTTCCCAATGTGAAATTTGTAAATAGCATTAACCTACCTAATAAATATATTGTTTACTGCTTTTAAATTGATTTATTTTTTATCTTGAATATTCAATGTGTTACAACAAAATAAAAATCGAAATAAATTTTCGGAATTTATATTTATAACCATGTAAGAGTATTACAAACATATACATTTATATGTATTTACATATGTATTTCAACGCAGTAAGGAAGTTATTACTTTATAGCATATATATTCTTAATCAGTAAAAACAGCCAAGTCAAACTAGCCATTTCTATGTATGTTTTTGTTACTTTGCCAACTAATATCTTAATTTTAGAACATATATTAATATTTTAGAACATATTAAACTTTTGCTTATTGAAAAGATAATATTATATTCTTGTATATATATTATAGAATTATATCGTGCACTTTGAATAACTCCCATCAATCATAAATCACAAAAGCAAAATTACAAGCACAAAATGTATTTCTATTTTATCTGATTTATTTATTTTATTGTTTTACTTTGGGTATATAATTAAATAATTATACAATATGTATTATAAAAGTGAAGACGTCAATTGTGTGAGTACAAACTTTTTTGCTATAAGGTTCGGGTTCGCAGGGCAGAATCAAATTAAAACAGGCAAAATCAATCTCCACAATTGCATCGCGAAATAACTAACTGGCTAAATGGGTGTCACCTGGCGTGAGCAAAGGAATAGGCACCATAAAACGGGCCGAGTGACAATTGCGCTGACACAAGGAGCGGCGTTTGATTGGGAGACTCGCTTTTGGCAGACATCAGGATACCTTATCCTCATCCTCTTCGTCTACCTTTGTAAGTCACCTCATTCACTTGGTGGTGCTGCCAATCAGATTGCATATCGCTTGGAGCTGGAGCTTGCGTAAGTTTTTCCCATTTGTGCTCCAGCTTCATACCGAAGCAGGCAAATGGGAAAGTTAAGAAAGTGAATCGTTAAATATGAGCTGTAGTACGTACAACTTGGACATAGCGTTTATTTTTTTCAGAAATGCCCACAGCTAGATTGAGACTGCGAAATGTGTTTCACGTCTCCCAAGATACGTATTATAATTTGATTCACCTCAGGCTGTATTACATAGTTACGCAGAACCATCGTAAAAATGTCAAAAATGCGTTGTGGATGGAGTGTGGGTGGGGGGTTATCCTTGAAAGTCTGATTGCCATCCCTACATACATTTATGCTTATCACAATATCAAACAAAAACACTTCTTAAGGAGGTAAGATACAAGTGACGATTGCACCTTCAGCTTCAAAAACTCGTAATATAAAAGTTTGTGAGGAAATATTGATATATTAAACAACATATATGAGAATACAAAAGATATATATGTCTTGCGATTGGGTTTTTTTTTTAATTTAGCAGGTGACTTTTATGAGTCGTTCCCAATACGGCCAAATATATCTCCGCTATTTTAAGTAATTCAATCGTGTAGAAATTATTCAATTATTTAAAAATCCAAGTATAGAAAACCTTTTCCTAAAGAAATTTTAAGCGAATTATTATTATTATTATTATTATTATTATTACAGTCGAGTCCCGATAATTCGAAATGGCAAGGGGATCACTTTTTTTACGAATTAGACGGGAATTCGATTTATCGAGATTTCTATTTAAAGGGGCTCAAAAATGAAAGAGTCGAATAAACGGGGTTTTTACATTTCACATCATGTTTACATAATAAATATGTACATTCGTTTGTACGTTTTTCAAATTAAAGGAAAATTAAACAAAAAATTAACAAACAAAATTAAGCAGAAAGATTAAATTATTAAAAATGAAAATTCAAGATTTAAAATAATTGGTAATTTTTTATTGCTTCGTGTTTTTTTCTTATATTTTTTCCATTGCGTTTTCTAAACCTATTAGGTTGTCAAACACACTATTTGGCACATCATGAGTCGAAAAATAATGTTTAAGTTGAGGAATTAATGCTCTGGTTTGTAAATTCTATAAAATTTCTTCTCCGTTCTGATGCCTGCAAAATCTAACGTCGCTTTAACTACAAAATATTTCGCATCGCATTACGATTTATTAGAGGTTTCGAAACTAAATTACAATTTATAAGAGGTTCAATATTCTTTGCGTTGCGCCAAATACTACGAATTAACGAGGGGACCAAAATGTATGGAATTTTTACGAATTAACGAGTTTTTTTCAAGGGGACAGAATTTTTTACGAATTATCGCGATTTTCGATTTAGCGGGGTACGAATTATCGGGATTCGACTGTATTATAATTATTATTATTATTATGTCAAATAGTACACTCACAGTATACTTCGTCACTATGTGTGCGGCCGGTCACAGAGTTTCTTCTATTTTTGCTGAAATAACTAGCTGCCGTAGTGTGTAAACGCTCTAAGCAGTGCAACTTAAAGAACGGAGTCAAGTTGACCCTTATTTGTTTGCAAGTTTAGTTTTACAAACAAGAATATTTCTGCCAAACCACCCAGTGTTAAATTATTGATTAGTTTAAATAATTTTAAAGTTAGGGCACATCGAAAATAACTTAATTAGCTAAGTATATACATACGTATGTATGTGCTGCAATTATGTATGTACATATACTCTAAATGACATCTTCACATTAATGATTTTTTAAAAATCATCAGTTTAATCCTACATTAGAACCCTTAAATATTGTGAATACCACCATTGCCTATGGCTCTCATCATTATTTAAAAAAAAAACAATTATAGATGTGATGTTTTTCAATATATTTTCGCCTACTCTGGGATATATATACACTATTAATATTTCTGTAATTTTTTTAAGTTGAACGTCTGATTCTTTCAAAAGAACGCTCAAAAAAGTAAATAGAGAAATGACGATTTTTAAATATTCATTAGTATATTAATATCGGAATTTCGTACGATCCCATAAAGTATGTATGTACATACATATGCATGTATAGTCTTAATATGCATTTAAAGCCGAGTAGATCTAGTCACAATAGTCTGCTTGCCTTTTCGTTAATCTGTCTCTCAGTTTGATTTATAAAACTGCGCAGATGGTATATAATTCGAAATGGATCCTATCGAAGGATCATATGTGTATGTATATAGCTGCAATAGGAACGAGTCATCTCCGACCATATAAAGTATATACATATATTCTTCATCAGCATCAACAGCCGAGTCAGACCAGCCATGTCCATCTGTCCGTTTCTACGCAAATTAGTCTCAGTTTTAAAGCTATCTGAATTCAAATTTGCAGTTAGTCTTTTATATACTCTCACTCGCTTATAAGTCGAAACGGGCCAGATCGGACGATTATATCATACAGCTGCCAAAAGAACGAAAAGAAAATTTTTACAAAACAAATTATAACTTTTCCAGTTCTCAATTTGAGATATAGCCATTTTATATTATTCTACAACTTTGTGTAATTTTTTTATAAAAATCGGACTACTATATCATATAGCTGTCATAGGAACAATCGAAAAGTTAATACAATTAAAAATTGCGTACTTCGGCATGCCAAAGATAGCTTTGAACGCAAATCAAATGAAAAAATTAAAATATAATTTTCGATATTTATTGACAAATGTAACAGATATAAATATGATAAATTGTTAAAACAAAAAAATTCTTTTCTTGTTAAATAACTGACAACCCAACGTAAAATTAGCATCCGTGAATATGGCACATATTCTTGTAATATTCCAGAAAATAACACATTTTAATATATTTATTCATTTGTTTATTAAGAATATATGCAAACAAAATTTAAAACTAAAAATATATAACTAACTTCCATTAAAGATTAATTGATAGGTAGGTACATACATACATAAAACACATGTGTTGCTTGTCGACTTTTTAGACTCGACTTAACTTTGACTGACAAAACAAAAAGGAATTTCATTACAAATAAACTAAGCTTTTTTGGAGAAATAAAAGTAACGAACCGTGGGGAGTCTTGAGTAGAATGCAAAATAATACTTAAACACGAAAGTAATGCTCAAAATCGGAAACAAATTCGAATAATTTTTAAATTCGAAAGTTGTAGAATGCAGCGTGTATATTGAGATGGCGTAATGTTTACAATTTTAGATAGTTATTTGTGAAATGAGCTTGCGTTGATTAAGATAGTTTCAGATGTTCTAATCGGATGTGCTGTCTGTGTAATACTTTCGATCGAATATGTGTGAAAATGGAAACGTTATTACACTTTCGCCACACGATCAACAAATTGCTGTTAGATATAAAGGCAATTTAAATGTTTACAGGAAAAGTGTATATAAGAAGCTTAGTAAATTTGTTGCTATCTCATTCTCTGTCATCTGCCTCACACAATAATCACAGCAATAATTGGTATTTTGACTTTTGTTTTCAGTTTTCAGATTTATCAATTCTATATAGCTAATTTTTTGTACAAAAATAAGTTAGTCTTGCTGAAGTGTTCGATATCTTGCCATTTTCCTCGTGACAGGTTAAGGTAGCTTTGATAAGATCGTTTTAAGCAAGTAAAGTAAAATACCGAATAAGGGGAACTGGGAATTAATGCTTTAGGTCACTTAAGTACGTTTCAAATTCGATTTAAGTGAAGCTTGGTGGTTTCCGACCCAGGATCAGTGCTTGCCCTTAGCCCGCTCTCTGTTTTCCAAATAGGCCGCCTTTAATTTTTGGTATTCCAGAATTCGGGCGATGCCATATTCCTGAAACATATATAAGAAAAGAATTTTATGAATATATGATTATATATTTTATAAATATTCAATAAAACAAGGAGCGGAAGGAAAACAAAAATCTCACCCAATAGCCAAACTCAATTGCAGATGTGACATTGATCACGGACCAGAGGCTCCAGAACAGATGAGACAGCATCGTAAAGAACTGAATCTCGTCATCCACTTTCTCCAGCTCCGGGCCGGTGGGATTATAGTTTTCATTATCGTGAAACTTCTTCAGATAGTTAACAATGAAGTCGCGCCTCTGTGATAAGGTGGCACAGTTGCTGGTGTTATGATAGAAATAAGGGAACTTTGGATTGGTGTAGTCAAAAGTCCACTCAATGAAGTGATTGGCCAGATCGTAGCCCCGATAGTTGTATGCGCAGTACTCAAAATCAATAATAATGAGATCCGGCTCTGTGTCGATCGTGAAGCTGGCATCCAGCGCTGAATCATTCGTGGTGTCCAACTCAGGGCAAGGCGGCGACGACAAACAGTGAGACTTGCTATTGAAAAAAATGCATAGTTTTGGAAAAGAATTAGTCATTTGAATACATCCATAGTACTGTCTCGTTGATAACCTGTAGCTTGTTTTGCTTTGGCCAATATAATTTTAGGAGTTTTAAACTCAATTCGCGACCGCAGCCAATTGGGACAATCTAGAATTGTAGGTAGTTTTATATACGACGAATATCCGGCAAATAACCATAGCTACTACTAAGCAGTACACAAAATAACAATTTTACCGATTAATTCAGGGGTAACTTACTTGACCTCCGTCTCAGATATGTTGCTGTTGCCATCCAGACTATCACCCAGTGTCTCGTCGAAATTGGATCTGAACATGAAAATAGAAAGTTATTTCGGATAATAGTCAGGACAATTATAATAGACTTGGAAACCTTGCATTTATGAATGAATTTCGACAATTAGCTCCAGTTACAAACCCACCTCAGGCTACTAATCGACTCTCTGGGAGTGCGTTCGCTTTGACCATTTGGCGGCGGCTGACGCAGCAGAATGTTTCCTTCCTGTAAATCGTTATGACAGAATACAACCGGATATTCGCCGGCATCGATCACTGACTTTATCCAGGCAATCTCCTGCACATAGTCGAGGGTGCTCATCAGCTCAGTTTGCTTCAGCAAAACCGTTGAGTCCGGCTTAGATTGGACATTGCCCTTGACAATGCTATCATAGCTTGATATCCAGCGCTGCATACAATTCCATATCCAGTCCGGCTCCTTGGACATGGGTATGTTAAGACTGTGAATCTCGCCCATTTTCTCTGCCACTTTCATTAATATACGCTGTTCGGCCAATTCGGATGTAGTCAACGAACGTGCCTGCGAAGTATTGTATTGTTTAATTGTTTCATTTTACTGGCTTTTAAAGGTACTTAGTAAAAAATTTTATATTCTTACCGGAATATATTGCTCGATGCGGCCGCCCGGAAAGATGCCGTGTAGCTTCGGCCCAAAGTTCCGTTCACTGAGCAGTGCAAAGACCACCGACTCCGTGATCATGCTTTCCAGCGCATGATCGCCGTGGGTTTGTCCATAGATGCGCAAGAGGACCTGTGCGGCGAGCCAAAGGATTATGTAGCCAAGTGAAATGAAAGGGTGCATGTCGGATGACCTACCTCTCGGGGTTCCTGCTTGAGAGCGTGCATTCGTTTCAACGAGCTTGAGTCGCCGCTATCACTATCAAAACGCTGGCGTTTGTGCGCCTGTTTGGCGCTCGTCGCTGCGTCGTCATCGTCATCGTTGTCTGCCAGTTCCGTGGTTAGGCCCGGCGACTTGGCGTCGACCTCCCCCGCTTCACCTCCACATATATATGCCAAGTTGCTGTTGGCCAGAGTTGAGGTGGCAATGACGTCTTTGCCGATGGCGTTGACATTTGCCAGGTGGCGCCGCTGTTGCTCCTCCTCCTGCTCATCGATGTCATCCAAGCCGGGCAGACTTACGTAATACAAAAAGTTTGAAAGGCCACCACTGAAAGCAGAAAGCATATTAAATAAAAATATGTATAAAATGTAAAGTTGTACTCACTTATTCCAAGTTTAGATTGTATACTTTTAAATACATATTAATACTATATAATGGAATTAGAAAATCGATGTTAGGCAGAGAGCACTTTTGGACTTTATTCGATTTTTTTCTTTTTAGTTACTCTAACCTTTAAGGTTAACTTTAAGTAACATTAACCTTTATAGTAACTTTGACAATAAGTTTTAAAGACAGTAAAGAAACTAAAATTTGATTATTAACATTACATTACATTAGTACATTAACTAATGGAGATATTTTCATGATATTATATTTGAAAGAAAGCAAACTTAATCTTCTTTAAACAAATAAATATAACGCTTTTGAATATTTCGATCCCAAATTGGTTTTTTTTTGCATTTTACTAGACTAAAGAAAAATTGACTTATAGTTTTCGTATTTTTTATTTTTTTTAGATCATTTTGGGATCTTAGACTTGATGACCATCAATTTAGTTAACTTACCTTTTTGTCATTTTCATATGAAAAGATTTGAATAATAAGGAACAAATGCAAATTGAAAACAAAAATTAATTTAAAAAAACCTTTTAATAATTTTTCTGGAGTTTCTTAAAAAAATTACTTAACCGCAAAGACGGTAATCAAATAATCAATTCAAAATAAACAAGTATTTTGTGGTTCTTCCTCTCTTACTTTATCTATCTTAATGCATCTTGTATCTCTCTTCATTTAGTGTTAGATATATTCGCATTTTATTTTGGCCCCTTCAGTTGTTACTTACCTAATGCGCTTCACCACCAGATTTTCAGGAGTCACCACTTTCCAGCGCCCGGTTAGATAGTCCCGGCAAATGCGTGCCGCCGCATGTCGAATTTCCTCAAGGGTGGCCTATTCAAAATAAAGCAAAACAAAATAATAGTGAATATAACATGGTGGACTCAGCAAAGAAATATTAAGACCAAAGAGAAATTCAAAGCAAAAGGGAAATAAAGAGAGATAGAGGGAGAGAGAGAGCGCAAAATGTAAAAGAGGGAGAGTTCTCTCAGATTGCGTGCCAGAAAAAATCGACAAGGCCCTGGCGCTGGTCTTGCACTATAAATAACTAATACTACCACAAATTCAGGTACGAAAATGCAAATGCAATTAGATGGTGCAGAAGGGCAAACCAAAACATATCGATTAAATATCCAATGAGGATATCCCTTTGACGATATTCAGTTGAGGCACAATCACGATAATTAAAAAGACGACAAGTCTAAGATTTTAAAACAGGCAAATCCAATCGAACTCAATTATCAGCTTACATTGCGATTAAAATGTTGCCAGATATTATCATAGTTACAACGTTTACTCAAGCAACAGTTGCGATCTATTTGCTCTTGATGCTGGCGACGTTTCAGTGTTTTGTTAGTTCTACGATTTCGCTGTCTCATGCTACGCGAATAGTATGCAAATATAAAAATATCAATGTTCGAGAATACTCTGCAATGTAAATCGTATTATATAAATCTTATTCGAGTAAAGGCACACAACAGGACAAGCGCTTTAGTTCGCTTCGACCGATAGAAAGTAGTTCACAGCTGGGCGGACAAAAACAAACTAAAGAGTCCGTTGCAAGACCGAGTCCGATACCTCGGGGGTAGCCGCTGCCGGCACCCGGGGCTCCGCTCCCTTCTCTCTCAAAGTTCCTTTCTCTTCGCAGCGGCACTATGAGGCACTGTGAGGCGCCACCCCCGCTGGCCGGCTGTTGTGAAAACCACGTCCGCCTCATGAGGTAGCAAGTTGGCTGGGAATCGGGAAATACGTAGCTGGCTGAGATTCCCAACAGATGTTCGCCGGTGAGAAAAGGGAAGGTGAGCATCGGGACATCAGGTAAAAATAGGGGGAAACTTGAATTGAAGGTTCGATTTTAAAACGTTTTTATTTTATTTCATAAATATGATTAACAACTTTTTTTGCTATGCATATGAACATATTATTTTACGTACATACATACATATGTAGATATATATTAAATAATATTTTTTTTAATTCACCTTAGTATAAAAATAATGTAAGTTAATTATTAATTTGAATCAAATATAATAATACCAAGAAAGAGTCAAAGTTTGTGTACTCTTGCTGTTGCATTTTTTATAAAGGAATGCATTCTATTACTGTGTTCTTTTTTAAACCTGAATGAATGCATTCGACGCAAAAAAATTGTATGTGCATAAAACACCATGGCTCAACCCGGTAAATAAAAGGTGGCAACGTCGATCGAAACTGTTTAATTTTAGGAAAATTAAAGCAATAACAGTGAACAGTCAATTTATAACAAATGCATGAGATCACGAAGTAAGAGTATTAAGATTAGTATATTCATACATCGGGGAATATCAAAAAGTGGTGGAACAAAAGTTTAATATAATAAAAGTGATCATAGTAAACAAAAGCAGCGATTCAATTCAGGACAGATAAAAAAAAACTTATAATTTGCTAGCCAAATGAAGAAATGAAGAAAACGAAGAGTCATATCGAACTGATTAGACGCGATTTCAAAGCCTAACGGTTTCAGAACTACATATAAAATATTTAAAACAAAATTATCCTGAACTTTCAACTACTGATTAAGAATATATGTATATAGTTTATATGGTTTCAAATTCGCTTGTTAGAAAACTTGTGACTAAAATGAAAATGCCCTGCAAGCTTATAAAAAGTGCATTTAATATTGTAAAAAATATTGCATTTAAAATGAAATTCAAAATGTTATAGGAAAAAAAAATTTTAAAAAAATTTATATTTAGATCTTTTTTATAACAGCTATACAATACGACACCAAAGATGAGCCCAACTTTAACCGAAACAGTAACAGCTGTCGCTTGAACCATGGAATTTTCCATGTAACCATTACGATTCCACTGGACAGAAATACACATAAATCAGAAAGTCTTATCATATCCGGTGAGATTCGTCAGCTAGTACAGCTCTTGCTGAGGCATTCAACAGAAAGAAATAAACGTTTAAAACAAATAAATACTTAGCGTTTCTTATTTGCATCATAATATTGCAAGATATGTGATAATTCCACAAGCAAATTCCGAAATCGATTAAACGCCGATATTGTAAGATGTTGCAACTATTCTAAATGTACTTTTCTGCTTTTACCCTCAAAGTCAAGGATATGCGAAGGTATTTGCATGAAATATCTTAAATATCCTCAAAATGGTTCAAAGACACTATTCTTGATCTCAGAGTTCATAACAAAAATTTTATTTTTTAAAAATGTACGTATCACGTACGCATTCAATTAGATATGTATGTATGTACTCAGATGTGCTATAGGTTTTCATAATTTATAGAGGGCATTGTGGACTTCGCCAAAATTTAGAAATAGGTAATGCGGATATATAATTAAATCGACTCGGCTATTAATTTAAAACTGTTATGTAAAGCCTCGTGGACACTGGCTATATTCTAAATTACTTCATACATATACATATGTACATACATATATGAAATTGTGATGATTTTATGAATAATAATTATATTGCTCTTTATATAGGTCAAACTTTAGTAGATAAGAGAAACTGCCGAAAATAAATCAACAATGCACCAGATAAGGTTTAACTTAAGAGCTATAAAGGTCTGACTTTCAAATATAAATTTTAAATACTTTGTTGCCATAAACAAGTAACTCAAATTTTTGTCGCCGTTTTTTATTACTTTAATTACAGTTATTTTAACAACGACTATGATGTCAAATACCGTTGGTCGCCTGCAATGAATTTAATTTCCGTAAATTAACATACTCAAATCTGATAACCGAACTATTATATAATTAAAGGATAGCACGTGATCTGACAACTTGATGCATATATGGCAAATTTTTAATCTCCTGTCTTATCTGCCGCCAAGCTAGATAAGGCAATAATTGGTTAGAGGTGCTTCATTATGTGCAAATAAAACCATATAATGAGTATATAATCAAACCACGTTTTTCGGGCTTAAGTTTGAGAGCCATGCAAACAGTTATGGAACCAATTGTGCTTTTAATAAAAGACTTTCATGATATATAAATAATTAATTAAACTTATTAATATAGGCAAATAATAAGCGCCGTAGACCGAAGGCACAAAAACTATAATTGATTCGTCTGTAATTGAGATGTTAACTGCGCAATGGAAACGAAGACATGTGATTTGATACGGTGACTGTCCAACCGCAACAATGTAGTCCGAACCATCCGGTCGTATAATCTGGCCTGGTCTTTTGAATTTACTATTGAACACACCAAGTGAGCGCCACACGCAATTCAAAAACGAAGTGACTAAACATCAAATTACTGATAAGGGGAATAATGGAGGACGACGACGGCAATGTACGAAGAAGTGATCCACGAGTTGAGATAAGAGGCTACCTTTGAGAACGAATTGCGAATCAACCAAGCAATCGCAAAAAATGTAAGAAGAATGCGAGTAGATAAGAGGGTCTTGTTGATCAAGCTATAAAGGAATAGCGGTTAACTTAATCCGTTTATCGGTCAGATAACTTCAAAAGGACTAAACATTTATGTGAAAAGAAAACATGATCATTTCAGGATATTTAAAAAGATATTTATAAAATTCTTGGGTAAAAGGTTCAACGATGATTCCAGTACTTAATTTACTACAATGCCCAATAAGTGCTATCTGATAAAGTTTTATATAGTACCAGTCAGTAAAAAAGTTAAAAAAAAAATAAAATTACTCATGAAATTAGCGTTGGCATGTCCTAGACTGACATCAGTGATGAATTCTACAAATTTTCATAAACAAAAACTTGATATTGTCATAAACTCATCGATAATTAATCGATTTGTCATTAAACTGCTATCAGCTGTTTTCCACAGTGTCTTCTTTAGTGGAGAACATAGAATATTAAAGCTAAATATGCAACTGCAGGATAACTATAAGCCTCAATGCTAACATTTGAGAAGCCGCAATTGATATACCCTTGCAGTTATTACAATAACAATTATTACACTTGTACCTTTTGAGAATATTCCTTAGCTCAGAAAATATTAAAAGTTGTTATATCTCGGAGTGTGAATGGAAACGTGTAGAATAACAATAATGTATGTATGTGCGTGCTACCAACGATTTAATACTATTTGCAAAGTTTCAATCAGATAGATTTTAAAACGAGAGACTAGAATAAATACTTTATAGGGCCTAAAACTTCTGAATAAATCATAATACATAATATGCTCTGCAACTTTGTAGTTGTTACATTCACGTTCTTTTAAAATTCAATAAATTAGTAAATGAGTGCTTGCCAATACTGTCGCAAGTAATGTTGAAAAGATCACTGATCAGATGCAAGAGCTGTAGAGAGATGCTTTGGAGTAATTTCAGTAAGCACACGTAAGTAAGTGTAAAGAAGATGCGATCAAACCACTCAAAAGCTCGCCGCAAAAACAATGCTTGTTTTGGAAATAACTTTTGCGAATCGCACACTTTCACAGGGTGCAGCCCATTCGCTGTGGGTCGTACCTTTTGCAGGTTGATGGGCATCGTCCTCCTCGATATTACTTATTGATCTTATTTATCCACAAACACACAGGCACAAGTACAATAGGGAGCAGTAATCACACGATGCAGCAAGTACTTGAACGGATTGTTGCTTTTAGCTTTCCGACGTCACTTGGTGTATTAAATATAGTTTGCAACAACAATGACTAAGTTGTACTGTTAAGTACACGCGTGGATCCAGGCACAGGTAACGGTCACAATGCGTCCACTCGAGAGGACTGTTTGGTTTCAACTACTTAACACTCGCTGGCTCCGATCGGCTCCAAGTTCGAAAGCTTCCGTTGGGAAGCATGGGAGCTGTAGTAGCCAGGCCACAAGAGCGGCGCAAGGCTATCAGTTCTCGCTCTCCGTCATATTTATTTTTTCTTTTTTGTTTTTATTATCGGAAGGTTTTTTTGCACCACTTTGCTGGGGGAATCCAGAAAAATACCGAAACCTGTTCAGTTGATAAAAATGTAATCTACATGTACATTTCGCTTTTGAAAATTTTTGTATAGAGATAGAACATAATAAAAAAACATTTAATTAAATTTAAAAGGGTACATAATAATTTGTTGTTGGAGTATGGCAGTGACATAAATATGGTTTAGTATTTGTTTTCCACTGGCCTTTTTCTAGGCCAACAACGTTAAATTACGTTTTTAAAATTGGGATGTTTACAAAAGCTTGTTTGGGATTTTTCTTTAACTTGTGTGACCAGCGGCACGACCGCCAAAAAAGCTTGCATCGACGGAAAAGCTCTTTTAACACAAATCTTAATATTTCAAATTGAGTCATTCTCTGAAGGCATTTTTCGGAATGTTTTATGTACTGGAGAAGACTTACTGTGAAGCTATTATCCAAGCCCTTTGCAATTTATTAATATTTTTAGAACTTAACAATGATAAACTAAAAAACGGTTTTCTCTATTGGAAACATTAATAATTGCAAACGCAAATACTGATACGTAGATGCCATAGCTATTGAATTTGTAAAAAGGTTCAAAATTATTACTTGAGCTTTTAATTAGGAAAACACAAGAATAATTTAAATATACCAACAAGATAGGCAACAAAATTTTTAAGTAATTAGGAAAAAAATACCACTTACATATCAATATACCTGAAAATATGCACATATTAATTTTTAAAATTGCTTAAGTTTATTTTACTATTTTTTTATGGTTTTAATTAATTTACATAAAATTGAAACTGAAATTCTTAAATAATACAAAAAATAACTTATTTAATAGTATATCAATTTTTGAAAAATTACGAATTGTTGTATATGAATTCGACTGCAATTTGCGGATATGCGCCAGCTGATGTTTGTTTAAATAAAATTTAGTCAGTTACGAACGAAAATTCAGCAAATTAAAGCTTAGTACTTAAGAACTATCAATTTATTTGAAGAAGGTTAGGATCTATATTTCGACAAGTAACCAATGTGACCAAAGAAACCAAAGCAAAAGTGGGAAAATGGTCCCCCTGACAGCTGAATCCAGTTGTTTTTTTTTTTTTGTAAGCAAATACTATAAAGTGAATTAACAATGAAATTGAATATCGGATATTTGAATACTACTTATTTATGTAATTCCTGTTATGGAGCTATATATTGTATTATAATTCCATTTTTAAAAACTTTTTTGTGACTTAAGTCTGTGTGTCTTTATGGAATTTATTTATTTCAACATTTTTTAGCCACCTGGAAAACCGCTTCATGCTATAATTCTATTTTTTTTTAATTCCACCGATCTTGGCATATGAGTCATTTATTTTACTGAGAAATTCACAGCTTAGTTTTTTGAGGCAATGATAGCAATGATTTAAATATTTTATCTTATGTTAGTTCTCTCTCAAGCAATAAATAAAAAAAAATTAATAAACTTAAAGTTTTTCTTTAATTTTCACTACCTTTTTATATGGACTATTGTGCTTGAAAAATATATTTCTTATCCTAGTACTAGGCTTCAGTAAACACCAAAGCTAAAAATAAGAAAGTTCTTCTGAAACTAAACTGTAAATGAAAACTGCAAAAATAATAATAATAACTTCGTTGTTTTTTTCACACAAACATATATATTTTATTTTGTATTATTTATTATTTATTAACTTTCTTGTTAAGACTGTTTTTATTTAATCAGAGATGTACATGACCTTTTCTCAATATTTTAGAATTTGGGTTTTAACTTTATGAAAATCGGACGACAATATCATATGGCTGTCATAGAAACTATCATTAAATAAAGAGGAATACCCACAACTGTGAATCTAAAACTGTGACTTAAAACTGACTATTCGCAAAGTTTTATTCTGACAGATTCAAAACTAGTCTCATTTGAATAGAAACAGACGGACGGACAGACGGTCAGCGGACATGGCTAGATCGACTCGGCTCTTGATGCTGATCAAGAATATATGTACATACATACGTAAACGCTTTATATGGTCGGAAAAAGACTCCTTCACGGCGTTGCAAACTTGTGACTAAAATTCATATTCACTCCAAGGGTATACAAAATGGGAAGCCCAGAGCACATTGAAGCGAATTTTAAACGTTTTTCAAAAGACACAAATGAATTTGTGAAAACAGCACACCTGTTCATATTAAAATAAAACAAGAAAGGAAGCTAACTTCGGCACACCGAAGTTTATATACCCTTGCAGATAGAACTTTGATGACAGGAATCCTTACAATATAAAATATATATATTAATATTAAAAAACAATGAAGTAATAACTGCTTTCATTTCATTCACCTATACATATTATATTTTCATTTTTACATTCACAGATTTGCATTTTTGCTCCACATCTAACGATCTTTTGTATGGCACCTATGTGATATAGTCGTCCGATTTTCATAAAATTTTACACAAAATTGTAGAATAATATGAAACGGCTATATCTTAAATTTGATGAAAATCTGTTGAAAACTGGAAATGTTATACTTTTTAATTGAATTCATTTCTCGATCGTTCCTATGGGAGCTATATGATATAGTCGTCCAATTTTCATAAAATTTTACACAAATTTGTAGAATAATATGAAATGGCTATATCTCAAATTTGATCAAATTCTGTTGAAAACTAAAAATGTTATATTTTTTTTGTAAAAATTTTCCTATCATTCCTATGGCAGCTATATGATAAAGTCGTCCGATCCGGCCCGTTCCGACATATATACGAGTGAGAGTATATAGAAGACTAACTGCAAAGTTTCATTTAGATAGCATCAAAACTGAGAGACTAGTTTGCTTAGAAACGGACAGACGGACATGGCTAGATCGACTCGGCTGTTGGTCCTGATCAAGAATATACATACTTTATATAGTCGGAGGTGCCTCCTTCACTGCGTTGCAAACTTCTGACTGAAATTATAATACCCTGCAAGGGTATAAAAACGAGCATGCAAATTGTTATATTTTCAACCGCAATGCGTACAAATATTTTTATATATTATATGAGCGACCGTGATATTTGCTCATATTATTAGTGCTATTATCTTGGCAATGGCCGCATATAGATTGTTAAACCAGAAGAGCTTTTCTGGAAGATTCCAGAAACCCAATTTTAACTTTCAATGGTTGGCTTTTCATCACCGATATCTGGACGAAATGTACAGTTGCGCCTACAAATATCTCAAGTGAGCTTTTCCTGCAAAATGGATAGAAAAATACAAACGCATATACGATATTGTTTTTGAGTTTTTCTGCCATTTATTTGTAAATGTTCTCGAATGTTTTTGTTTCTGCTGAGTTTTGGCTTTAGTTGGCCATTATTAGTGTTCAATCAACTGATTTATTATTTCGGTTTCAGAAAATAACTAATTCGGAATTTATGTAGTTATCATAAAAACAATTTCGGGACGAAGGCAAATAAAAATGTGTAAAAATGTATTATCGTAAGAAACTGTTACAGAATTTGGAGTTGACAATGTGTAACTATAATAGTTACGAACGCTTTTCCAACATAACTTTTATTATAGTATCCCGTGGTTTTTATATTTTATTGTAATTTTGATGCATTATAAAATTTGATTTTCTTGTTCAGTTTCGATTTGTTTTTATTGTTCCTGGGGGTACGATGTATTCGCCTCCTACAGTCTGGCAGAAGTCTTTCTGGGATGTTACTACTGGCAGCTTTTTTTATTAAATTAGCTGATTTTGCAGTGTTTCTCGTATATAAATATTCATATACAATATAGGATCATAAAGTTGTAAAAATAAAATAGTATTCTAAAAATTAGGTGGAGGAAAAAATGCATATGGTTTCATTTTCTTTCTTATAGTTTTTGCTTATTTAGGGAATTTTCGTTTGAAATTTTTCTCTTTCGCTTCGTATTTATTAGAATTATTAAATTTGACGATTTTTGTTTACAACTTTTAATCTTAAAACATAGAGGGTCTCATCTTACTTTTGCTTGATCATTTTTCTCTTAATATTTTGCTTTTATATATACTTTCTTTAAAGTTAAGGTTTAAGTAGGGTTTTTAAATGATAATGGATTTGTTGTTTCTTTTTGTTTGTTGGTTGATTTTTGTTTGTTAGTAGAGACAGAGAATCTGGGTACACTTTAAGACTACGCTCCCAATGCAGGATTGTTATTAAAGAATTGCTGCCGCCCGTCCACCTACACAGCCACTAACGTGCACAGCCACCCGTACGGTAGGCGAGCGGTACATTCGAGCTGCTGGTGGCGGCGAGTTTAACCATTATTTTGTGTGATTTGTTTTGTTGGTTTTTTCGTGTGTTAGTAAGTATTTTATATGTAGAGTACTGTGTGCTTCTGCTTGTAGAGAGCCGGTTTCCGCGATTCCCTTAGGCAGCCACTTCGCTGGCCTCGGCCCCGTTTTGCACCTCATCCTTTGTGCTGGCCTCGTCAAGCTTTGCCTTCTTCTCCGGCGTGGCAACTGCCTCGTCGGCTTTTGCGGCGGCCTCATCCACCTTCCGCTTTACAGCTTCGGCGGCAGGGGCGTCTGCAAGGCGTAAAATAAGATCAAATATAGCAACGGATGGAGGGAGGGTGATTTACCCTTTTGTATACTAGATCACACACCTGTTGAGTCACCGTTGGTGGCCTCCTCGGAGCCGTTTTCGACTGCGGCGGCAGCCTCGCTGCTGTCCTTCTTGGCCTCCTCGCCGGTGGCGGCCTCCTCCTTCTTCTCTCCTTCCTCCTCCTTGGCGGGAGCAGCAGCATCGACCGCCTTCTCACCATCGACCGAATCGGCAGCGGCTGCTTCGGCAGGTGCGCTGTCGACAGCTCCGTTCTCCTTTGCGCTGCTCTCCTCTTCAGCGGCACCGTTCTCTGTGGTGGTTGGCTTCTCGACTGCTGCTTCCCCAGCGGCAACGGAATCCTTCTTCACAGCATCGACTTCCTCAGCGACGACTTTCTCCACAACGGGGGTTTCACTATAAATGAGGTCGAAAAATGGGTTTAAATATTTATTGAACTAATTTTTTATTGTACTTTTTTTTATTAATATGAAAAATGTTTTTATTAAAAGTATTTCAATAAATTATGAAATTGCGTTACATTAAGAAATTTCACTTTTCAGACAAAATACAAAAGGTATTTCAAATAATTATGAAATTTTTACATTTTCCATTTTACAAAAGAGGCCGGCAACGTTTTCACATTTCCTTCGTTCTCTCCGTTTTCTCTTCCTCCCTTCCCTTCCCCACCTCTCTCGTGACGCTTCTTCCGCGTCTTTTTAGTAACCCTACAACAATACAAGGCATCATTGTAACATCTGCCGACGCTGGCAGCGCTGCCGTAAAATGTTAAATGGGAGCAACAACTCGTGCAAACTGCGACGCAAAAAGAAAAGGTGAGCGGCATTTGGCAGCGTGCTCTTTTCCATATGTAGTATATAAGCGATGTACATACAGATGGATGAGAAGTGGGTAGCATAAAAGAGATGCTTGCAAAAAAGTAAAAATCGCCAATTGTTTGAAATAAAACGAACGAGCGGAGAACAGAAACTGGTTTTTACACTTATAGTTGACTCTTTCGCACGCACGTTTAACTGGATAGCGGCTAGCGCGTCGTATAGCCGGCTTGTTAGAGTGAGATAGACAATTCAAGTCGTGTGTGCAACGCAAGCGAAGCGAAAAATAACGGTCAAAAGGCAGACACATACAGCTATAGAAAACACCCACTATGAGACAACTCCGACCCCCAGAACTACTACACAACCTAAGACAACAGAAATTTAACTGGTTTTTCTCTACTTGTATTCTTCGCCATGCTGCGATGATAAAAATAACCAGCAGCACAACACCGGCGACGGTAAGAACGAGATTATTTCGGGCAGTGACAAAATAGCTGGAAGCAAGAACAAGAATAATGAGGACAGAACGACAAAGTTAATTCCAAACTTTAGCTTTGAGCTTTAGGCCAGCCAGAAACGTGTAGATGGCAACTGAAAAATATAATGGACAAGCGGAGGGGGAATGAAGCAAATGCTAAAGCAAACAGCCAGACAGACAAAACGACAGCTGAAATCAAACAGCACAAGAAAAGAGCGGCAACTTGAATGCCACTCATACACACACACACACACGCACGTTTCAACATTTTGCGCACTCCGCTTGCACACTCAGAAAATATTACTTCGCCGCTGACATCGCCGACAGAAAAAAAAAACACATACACACAAGTTAATTCTCGTTGTCGTTGGTTTGCCGGCCGGAGAGTGAGCGAGAAAGTACTACGACGCCGCGCCAAATTCAACGGCGTCGTTTTTTGCGCGCACCCTTACTAGACACAGGAGAGAGCGAGACAACTGCATTGGTGCCGCCAAGCAATTTGCGTATATACACAGAATTCAAAAAGAAAATTTTTCCAAACCGCTGGGGCTATAGCAGGAAAAAGTACGATCTTAAAATTTCAGGCATTGACAGCCGCCGGGTAAACTTTATAAAGTTGTTCAAACAAATCGCACAGGCACACAGACACCACCATAGAACAAGCCAAATAAAATTACTCACTTCTTTTGCTCAGCCACATCAGCCATTTTGATTTACTGTTGGTTTTACTTTCAAACAACGAAGCGCGAAGACACGTTCAAATATGTGTTCTGGTGTTCGCAAATCACGATTCGCAGTAGATCAACACGTAGTTATAAACAAATTGGCAGATTTTATAAATTTGTGCAGACTGCCGCTTATTCTTTAGTAGCTTTGCTAGGAAAGTCGCTGGTTGCTGGATTTTTGGATTGTCCGTCCACACAGTCACACAGAAAACGCCGAATGAGAGAGCGGAGAGCGTCGGGCCGCCTTTTAAAGCGGCGAGCTCTTTGGTGGTGGCAGTGCTGTCAGCTTAGCTCATTTCAGGCTAGATCTGCCATGTTTGGAACCCTGACGCAGCTAGTTTATAGCCTTAAATATTTAGAGGAGAAACAAAGATAAATATACATTATTTATACACGTTCTTATGTTTTTTTATTATAGTTAAAGAAAATAAATAATTAGTGAATAATATATAATAAATATATTTTGTATTTATGGACTCAACAGTTTTTTTTTGTACATCTATGTGACTATTAGAAATCGATTTTAACTTGCGAAGTGAGAGGGAAAAGATTCAATCAACCTTCCATTTTATTATTTTGGCTATAAAACCCTATTTTTAAATAAAAAAATAATAATAATGAGTTTATTTTATATTAATGTCAAATTCTCTAACTGAAATGATAAAATAGTCTACCTGTTACCGAGTTTCTTTGATAATGATAATTTATTAGTCCACCATGGTGTTTAACTTCTATGAGAAGAAAGTATGTATGTATATGCGAAATGAAAACATCAGATCCAAACACAATAATTAATAATAAAAGTATTAACAGTTGATATTTGCAGTGATATTATTCTTCGTTTGCTCATCTTTTCAAAAAGGGTTGTCAGGTTTCAATATGTTACTTGGCAATGAAAATATTTTATAAGTAGTTTTTTATTAAATATATACATATGTATATATAAATATATATATATATAAACAATAGAAATGCTTGTCTTGAACAAATTTAAGCCAGGTACAGATTGTACCTGATGGATATGCAGTTCGTTTGCTGTACATAAGGATGGAAGAAATCCTATGGATTAGGTAGCCTCACGTGCCAAAATGTTCTGTCTGAGATTCGTTTTCTGAAGAAAACAAAGCAAAACAAAACGACAGATGTTTTGTGATCCGATACGGCAATATGTCCTGAAATGATCCCAAATGTATGTATATATGTTCATTTTTCTATACACAGCATTAAGAGAGCACAATGGTTGCGTGCACCAGCACCAGGAATTACCAAATGTTTCGATATGCATGTACGAACGTAAGAACAAAATGTACATACATACATATTACATTTACATGTATTTATGTATTTACATACATTTGTAGATACTTTTAGATTGTTTAACATTTTATTTTGTACTTAGTACTTAATCAAAAAATAATGTACGAACATACATACATATATGTACATAAGTCGTATAGGTCCGAAATCTACAGTTTAATCGACTATGGAATACCCGGTACCCAAACGTGATGGAAATAAAAAGCTTGAATGACCTTGAGTCTAGGGACAATGAGTGAGACAGAAAGAGAACTGTGGATGGGTTTATTCAAATAACTAGGAGACACTTAATGTGTAATTAATTGATATATTTGTGTATTTATGGGTAATTCTTCAGGAAGGTCTACCATTTTAATATAATAAAATTTCTTTTGAATGAAGATGAGTAAAAAATATACGTTTATGAAACTTTAAAACTAATATAATTTTTATGTTTTACTTTTTTTGAGAAGATTTTTTTTATTGGTATTAAAGATAAAAATTTTTTTATAACGTAAGCAACTGACAGTAAACAAAAAACGTATCTTTGAAAGTGAATATGAAATGCAGTTCCAATAGAAATCAAAAATGTTTATTCAAGGAATATGAATTAGAATTAGAGTGTAAACCGCAACTCAGAAGATAATATATTGAAAACCTCTGTGCATGGATATTTCACATTTTATGAGATATTTCTTTTGATTTTATGAGATGTTGCCCAATCAGTGAGAAACAAGGGGAATGGTTTTGCCCACCTGTCGAATTCGCCCCATACATATGAATATATGTATATACATTGTATATGTGTATATGTATGTATGAATCTCTTGATTAAAATGATTCTTAATGATGGATGTTACTTGTCGTGTGTTTTAGGCCTAATGTTGAACACTTACATTGTTTTGATCGCGGCTGTTCATATTATTCGGACAATCAATAAAAAATTAGTATATACTGCAGATTTTCATTCCAGCCCGCTAAAACCTTTTTCAGGTAAGCCAGGTAAAGGGAATTGACCTATGTTCCGGATTAGTTTTATACAAAAATGGAACGCAGTGCACTAGCAGCTGCCGGGGAATTTCAATGCCTACCTATGAAGCGCATATCCTACATTTTGAACAGTCGACGAAGAAAACGGCAGCTGCTATCCTCTAAGATTGATATTCTTTTAAGGGAACTGTAGTAATAAAATTAAAGAATGTTCACAATTTTTCAGGTTACGGTTATAAAAGGCAGTATGACGTTCAAAAGTGCATATTCATTTATGTAGATCTAGCATTGATTTACCGTTTCAAATCATAAAATCTGTTGAAAACTGAAAAAGTTATAATTTTTAATTGAATTAATTTCTCGATCGTTCCTATGGGAGCTATATGATATAGTAGTCTGATTTCCATAAAATTTTACACAAAATTGTAATAATATGAAATGGCTATATCTCAATTTTATTAAATTCTGTTGAAAACTGAAAATGTTATAATTTTTTTTTGTAAAAATTTTCCGATCATTCCTATGGCAGCTATATGATACGATCCGGCCCTTTCCAACATACATATGTATATACAAGTGAGAGTATATTGAAGATTAACTACAAAGTTTCATTCAGATAGCTTCAAAACTGAGAGACTAGTTTGCGTAGAAACGGACAGACGGATATGGCTAGATCGACTCGGCTGTTGATCCTCATCAAGAATATATGTATGTATATATGTACTTTATATAGTCGGAGGTGCCTCCTTCACTGCGTTGGAAACTTCTGACTGAAATTATAATACCCTGCAAGGGTATAAAAATAGAATATTAGCTGTATAGGTAAGAAAAAACAGTTACCTCCTTTTGCTTGAAACCTAGAGTAGTTAAATGTAAGGAGTTTCTCAAAAAAACAGTTTTTTACTCATATACTGTACTTTTTTTACTTATACATACATATGTATATGTTGCCGGCATTTGCTTGAAACCCAGTGCAGTTAAATGTAAGGAGTTTCTCAAAAAAACAGTTTTTTACTCATATGTATATTTATGTATGTATGTACATTTTTTATATATGCATATAATGTATATATATATCGACAATAAAGGACATCGTTTGGTTAAGGCAGTAATTATATTAAAATGTATTGAAAAATCTCATACCGGTGCACCCATTTATAAATTCTATAATATTTATTTATGCACGAACATGCATACATATGTACATGAACACACTCATGGAAACATTTATCAGGATAAAATACAATTTTGTAATTGTAATTAAAAAGCTAGGGAACAAATAATCAATTTAAATTTATATTAATTTTTAAACACACAAATTTGCGATGTTTAATTTGAACGAAAACCAATCTACATACATATGTATTTAGTTTTCAATTATCAATTCTCCTGTTTGATTGTGCATTTCCTGTACATCTGCACATGCATATATTTACACCCACAAAAACCTACATACATATGTACATACATACATACGTACATCCATAGAACACACTTAGCAGCTGCACATGTTTCATTGCCACTCAAGGCCAGCTGCAGCCTTCGACTTGGCTATTCCTCTCCTCCTTCTTCTTTTTTCGCCGTTCGAATGCCATTTAGGAGAGTCATTAATGTTGCTGTCTAATTAACTTTATGTGCTTGCGGCTATATTCGAGTGATTATGCATAGTCTAAATGCCCTTCCCGTTATCAAGCTGGCCAGCTGTACCGTTATCAGTGGAGTACCCGCTCTCACACATGCGCAGTACGGAGCTTTTCTGCTTTCTCGCATTTAAAAAGAGCGAGAGCGCTCGACACAACGGAAGTCCTTGCTGCTGCTGCTGCTGCTGGGGCTTGTTGACTGTCGAAAATTTTCACTTAACAATCAGTCAAGTTTATCGGGCGCCTTAGTTTAGTCGAAGGAAATCGCGCGGCGGGTCAGCAGGAATAAAATTGTTCGACAGCAAAAATACTACTCAGTTGAAAAAAACGGAACACATTGAAGGATATAACCTATTTTGGGAAAAGTATGTTTTCGAATTTCCAAGCTTAACAAAAGTGGGAGTAACAGCGCGATAAAAGCAGACGGAAAAACGACGACTGTACACACACTTAGCGGTTATCATAAGCCCCGAAAAAAAATAGAGAGAGCGGATGAGACCATTTATCTGAAGTCGAAGGAGTTGTCAAAGATTTGTGGATCCAAAGTAAAATCGAAAACGTGTCTGCAGTGCAATAATGTGTGTACCCACACCCGCACGCGGCTATACAAACAAAATCAGGACGCATTAAAACGGACCTTGAGCAATTCAACCTTACCAACACAATTAAATTTATACGCTACGCATATCAAACTAAGAAGGATTTATCGTAGGGAAAAGGTGGGGGAACTACGCTGCGTTATGTTACAGAGTGTCCATCGTCAGTCGAATATTCGGCAATGAAGAAATCTAGTCAAAGGAAGAGGAAGCAGTTGCGGAAGCGAAGAGAGGAAGGGTGCACAAAAATGCCACCTAGAGAGCGAAAACACAAAGCAAGAGAACAGTGTGTGTGTGTGTTTGTGAGAGAAGGAGAAAGCTAGAGAATGAGAACGATGAGATTTACCGTGGTTTGTGCAGGTGTCAAATGCGGTAGATAGTCTATATCATTTATTCATAATAACTGGGGCGACAAAGCCTGAATTTTGACAGGTATATTTCGATTTGAGTTAAATTTTCTCTAATTAGAATTCAACAGAAATTTTTAGAGTCTTAAAATGAAGAGCATCTTGGTTGAAGAAAGAAGTATAAAAACAATAATTTTTGAAATGGATTGATAAAGATGATTTAAAAATTTGCTTTAAATTTTAGCTAATGTTTTGAAAACAAATTTTAATATAAATTCAACGATTTTGATATATATTTGTTATATTTATTAAATGAAATGAAATACAAAATATTCAAGAGTTTGGTCTAGTTTAGAAATTGGTTTGAAATGGCTTTCTTATCTTTATTTTTGTGCAGGCACCAAAACTTTTGACCTTATTCCCAGAAAAATTTATGTAGATTAGCGAGACCATCTCTATAAATTCAATGGTCGGTGATAAGACTGCAAAAATTTATTTAATGTTGGCTTGAATTGTAGACCAGTGTGTGGCACACACTTACACTTACACTCACCCACACGTGCAGGCTCACTTACGGCTGTCGCGCAAGGACGCTTCCGCCTTGCCTCGCTTTCCACACAACCTTATATTTCTTTTTCGTGAAGGAGAGAGAAGAAGGAGAACGTTAAGTCTCAAATTTACCGTTAACGCGAGTTTTTTTTTACTTGGTTTCTGCTTGCGCTCGCTCCCAGTGTTTGAGTTTGTGATTCGCATTGCTTCTATTTACCAAAGCGGCGTCTCCCAGTTTCCAGGACCCCGACATCATAAATAAATAAGACAAGGAAATGGTTTTGCTTCATTCATAAACCAGAAACAGCCCGGAGGGAAGGGAAGGGTCGACGATCAACGAATAATTAAACAGATTCCTGAGGAACCCCAGGAACTTCTTGCAGCATGTCAGAGGAGAAGGATGGCAATGTGGACAACGGTCAGGCGATGGCCAAATCAAAACAGCAACGCCAAAAGACTCCACCAGCCCGGCGGCGACAAAACGACAGCGATGTGGTTGCCGGCGGTGTTGGAATAACCGGCGGTGGAGTTGTCATCCTTCCACAACATGTGCTCAATGAACTCTACCACAATTACTCGATTAAGCAGCGACGAAGCGGTCTCAAGTGGTTCCTCTTTGCTGCCGTTCTATTTAACATCTGGACTATCGCAATACCCTGGGATCAGGCGGTGCCCACAAGAGGTAAGTGGATATTGTTCAACTGGATTAACATTATGAATAATATTAATTCATTAAGGCAAACAAATTTTGTTATCAAACTCGTGATTAGCAATTAATACAAAAAATGTGATTCTGTACTCTAAACTTTAAAGTTTCATTTTGTAATAGTTATTTTTTCTCAAATGTTCATTAATTACCAGATGTAGGTGTGTTGAATACAAAACTTTTATGTCCTCATTAAATATATATTTGAATATTCATAAAAATCTGAATAATTTTCAGAAATAATGGAAAATTATTCAGATATATCGGAATAATATTTTTTCAAAAAATATTTTGTCTAAGGCAAAAACCAAGGTCTAATTAATTAACAAAACACACTCACATATATATATATATATATATATATATATATATGTATATATATATGTATATATATATATATATATGTATATATATATATATATATATACATATGAAAGTGTGACTAATCAGCAAACACCTATTCTTTCTGTTATTCTTACGCAATCTTAGTGGTCAACTGCTGCATGCTTGTTGCATATTTAGCTTTAACAGCTCTTCTACACATTGGACGACGATCTGAGAAACCGGCATTGAAGCGCTTCCATCAGATACTCCTAACGATTGTGCCGCGAGCACTGTGGCTACTTAGTGTTCTTCACTTTTCTGCCTATGTGATTCTTCAGCCAAGCTTTTCTCCAAGGTTAGTATACATGAAAATACCTCATCTAGTTAATTTCACTCAATACTAAAAATTACTGGGAGTATTGGAAGTAAATTGGAAAGTATTAACCAAAGGTGAACAATATTATCTTTGGAAAAATGCACTGATGTCTGCCTACTATTGTAGCTGGGATACGGATTATTTATTTTGTAAATTAAAATTGTTTGTTTTGCTCTCAGGGACATTCTTGGATGGGCCATCCTGTTAAACTTCCTAGTATATGTCACGCTGCCATTGCCTCTGATTTTTCTGGGCCTGTCAATTGGATGCTCGACGTATTTTATTTCTCTTACTCTGCCAGTGGGCTACTCCCGTTCGGATCCCTTGCTCTCGAATCAGTTGGCCGCCAATGCGGTGTTAATTGCCACTGCAGCTTTGATTGGGCTCCTGTACTACTTTATGGGGGAGGCGAAGCAGAAGCGAGCTTTCCTCGAAGCTAAAAAGAGTCTTGAGGTTAAAATGGTAATCGAGGAACAATCAGCCGAACAGGTAAGCGCCATTTAAGAAAAGTTTTGGTGAGACTTTAATAAAAATATTACCATCATCAGGAGCGATTGCTGTTATCCGTGCTGCCTAAGCACGTTGCCATTAAAATGAGGGAGGATTTGGGATCCTCCAGTTCGGAGGCATTTAAGAAGATCTATATGAGTCGTCACGAGAATGTGAGGTAAGCTCTTAAGGTATAAATTAAACAAAAATGGTTTTTGCACCTTTAAATTAAATTTTTGTTTTGTTCTCAAACAATATATTAAATATTTCCCATATTTACATTGTATATTCTAAAGGTTACAAAGATGAGGTTAAAGATTAGAGCCTCCAATTAGAGTTAAGCTCCTTTTTGCTCCGTATATCCTAAAGACCTTTACATTTTAATAAAACACGAATAACGATTGTCTCTGATTATAAGAATAAATTCATATAATGCTTATGATTTCGCATCCTAAATGGCTTACACTGGACACTTTAAGTTTACATTCACATATGTAGTATTAAACTCTGCATCGAATTATTCATGAACATGAGGAGTCGACTTAAGAACACTGGTGTTATGGAACACTTTTCTATTTAAATATAATGATTTGACCAAAACGAAAAATCTTATCGATAGTTCTAAGCACAATACATTTCACAAAAATTTTATTGATTTCCTAGTCCCTCCACTACTTACTTCTAGGTGTTAATATTTTAATGAAAAGCTATTGCATCACACTTGTTTAACCCCTAAATGTTCCAATCTCTCAACTTTTTTATACAAACAAGCATTCTATATGCGGATATTGTGGGCTTTACCGCCATCTCCTCCACCTACAGCGCTCAAGATTTGGTTAAAATGCTTAACGAGCTTTTCGCACGCTTCGATAGGCTCGCCGAGGTAATATTTTCTCGTTCTAAATTGCTTGCAGGTTTCTCTTCGCAGTTTTTGGAAGGTCTTCTTTTACGTATTCATAGGGAAGTAAATAGGATGATTATGATTTATCAGAAATGCCAGCAAGATTAGGTTAGTTTTTATTTTTATTTAAAGAAACCATGAATGGAGTCTACATACATACAAATATATACATATGTCCGTCTCTCCTAAAACTTTCCAACACACTAGTCTTCTTTCAATCGCAGATAGTATGTGGATGTATGTTTGTTTGTACAAAAAACTATTTCGTATGGCTTTCATAGAAATCATCTGATCCACGATCATAACTTAAGGAGCTTCAGTTAATTGCAATTTAATAAATTAATCTTACAGCTTATGTAACTATAACCGCACTGGTTCTAAATTCTAAAGAGATCTAAAAATAATCGATTTGCTTGTTTTCGCATTGTTTTACTATTCGGTTTTACTGTAAACTTATTATTTAATGTTCTTTCAATTCGGTACTCAGATAATTTCTTTATCTACCGTGTTTTGGTTCAGAATTTCCATTTTTTTGCCAAGGGTGAGCTCCGGTCTCAAAAGTTATGTCCAGTCATGCGAATATAATTTTTCAAGTTGATTTTTTCCAGCAATCGAATTTTTGCTTTTATTTTGAGTGTGCGGAGAGTGGTGGGTGTTTTTTTTTTGTTTATTTTTGGCCCTAGTTAATTTGACTAGAATATCGCTCGAGTTGCGGTTATGGGACATATCCAAGGTGTGTGTGTGTGTGTGTGTGTGTGTTAGGTACGTTTGTATCCTTTTATTGATTTTTGTGAACACGTTTTTTAGTTTTGTAGCTAGGAGTGTTTAAAAACCATGAGTGTATGAAGGTAGATACTACTCTTAAGTTAAGTCTTAGAAAAAACAACTTGGTAAGATAATTTCAAAATCTTAAAGGGAAAAAAATTGTAAAGTTGCTTAGCGGTCAATTCGTATAATTATTTGACTATTTGATGCTTTACTCGATTAATCTAAAGGACATTTGTCTCTCCCTAGAAATATCAACAATTGCGTATTAAGATTCTTGGCGATTGCTATTATTGCATTAGCGGTGCCCCCGACGAGCGACCGGATCACGCCGTGATGTGCGTGCACATGGGACTATCTATGGTGAAGGCCATCAAGTGAGTAGCAACTGAAGCCAGCTCCCTGGCCAGCTCCCTGGGGAATGAAAGGGAATAACAGTGCGACAGTCGACAGTCGACAGTCAACGCCAAATCAACGTTGGTTCAATTAACAATAATTGCACTTAACCACGCGCGCTCCTTTCGCTCCTTTTCCGTGGCGTACTTCTAGGCACACTACCTACCAACCGCTTACCATTTATTTACCTGTCCTTATTGCGTGTCACTCTCTCTTTCCCTTCGTTTTTTGCAGATATGTGCAGCAGAAGGCCAACTCACCTGTTGATATGCGGGTGGGCATACACACGGGAGCAGTGTTAGCCGGCATTCTCGGCCAGCGGCAGTGGCAATTTGACGTTTACTCCAAGGACGTTGAGTTGGCTAATAAAATGGAATCGAGCGGCAAGGCTGGGTAAGTCGCGTTGGCTGTAACTGCTGTAAGGACATTACCAACTCCCAACTTCCACTGTTGCATAATTAAAAGCGGTCAGCGTCAGATGTCGTCGCTTATTACGATTTGGCTTTGTCACTTTGCCATGCAAATTTATGTGTTCTGTGGTTGCGGTCCTCTCAGCTCTGTTCCTTTTCGGAGCTGCGTGTTCCCCACTCTAGCACAGTTCATTTGGTCGTTCTAGTTTAATTTATTCCTTATAATCTGCTTTCAGACGCGTTCACATTTCGGACAAAACGTTGGCCTTCCTCAACGGAGAATTCGAGGTGGAGCCAGCCTTTGGGGAGAAGCGAGAGGAGCTGTTGCGCATAGCTGGTCTAAAGACATATTTTATCACAAAGGTGGTTAAGCCGGTAAGTGTGGCGATTATTCAAAGATTTAGCTAAACAAACAATTTAGATAATGATTAAATTGAGGACTACATTTCGTAGACCAAATATTATAAAGGATATTCAATGTAATGAGATATATTTATATGACTCTAATTTTGTGGAAAAACAAACAATTTAGATAATAATTAAATTGAGAACTAAATTGCGTAGACCAAATATTATAAAGGTGATTCAGTGTAAAGAGATATAGGATCAGTCATGATTAGTGTTATCATTTTACCTCTTCCGGTATACACAATGAAACTAAATGGTTAATTAATATTTTGAATAAAGAAAGTATTATTGAATAAGGTGGATATGCATCAGCAACCCGTCTGTCCGAGTATTTTATATGCAAACTAGTTTCCCAGTCGAAACGCGAAAGTCGAAAAAGAAGAAACTTTTAATGAAGACTCCATTCCTTCGCAACTAGTATATACTCCGAATTGATCCGATCACTATATCTTATAGCTGCTTTTATATACATTAGTGGTAGAGCGATCTGAAAACAATAAAAAAACGAACTTCGAGATGACAATGTTTGTATAACCTTGAAGTTCCTTCTTGTTTTAAAGTATTGTCAATGTACATACATATGTTACAGGAAGGGGCAATCGTCTTTAACTCCATAAAGTATACAAATACTATTAATAGACAGATATCTATCCTAGAAGTAACAAATATTAAAATTGATTAATAGATTTCTTTTGTTTGAAGTAAAACCTATATCGTACAATTAAAATAATATGGAATTACTTAAACCTAAAACCTAAATTTGTTATAGTTCGCTTCACCATGTGCCAAAAAAATCAACGAAATCCGAACAGAAAACTCTCGTAATGGTTCTATCAACGATTTGGTAAACGAAGAAGATGATGACAACGATGCCTCCTTGGATGATGAGGAGCTTCTAGCTCAAAAAGTCATAGCCAACGGCCAACAAACAACTGTGGCAGAAGATGAGGAGGAGCAAGTGAAACTGGAAAACTTTAAGCAACGATTGAAAGACGAACTGGTAACACGTGATGGACATGAGTAAGTGAATCGAATCAAGTATCAATGATATGACATAATGGTAAAAACCTAATCCTAAATACGATATCTTTGGTAATCCTTTATATAATCTATATTATAACGAATTAATTTATATCTTTTCTAAAGGAACCTTACAAAAGACACAAACATTTTCCTGCGCTTCAAAAACCCGCAATTGGAGCAGTGTTATGCTGTCTACAGGGAACCCTACAGTTCACTTCCCCTCCTGGCTGCTCTTCTAGTACAGTGCATAGATGTATTGTACTCATACTTGGTGCTTCCTCGATCCACCCTACACTTCATCAACATCGCGGCACCATTGGTTCCGATCGCCATGCTAGTGGTGATCAGTATCGCCGAAAGTTTTAGCGGCATGTTGCCCAAGTTCTTTGTGGATGTGAGCAAGCGGTTCAATGACATCACATTCGTCCGCGAGTTGGCTGCCATTATTATAGCACTCACTATTGGACTCAGCAATGTCATCGACATGGTAAGTTGCTTGAATTTTAATTGTGTTATATTCGGATATAGTCGGAGAGATATGTGGATCATTTTAGGGTTTAAAAACAAAACACATATATGATTAAACATCTTTTCAAAACACTTTCTTTCAATAGTTCTTTTTCGTAACTTTTGTTCGCACGGAGCATATAGTCAGTGAGAGCGAATTCAATGCTACGGGAGGCTTGGAGGGCGAGGTGGACGATGACGACGGAGTGGTCACCGCAGAGCACCTGCTGCCCGAATCGTTTGTGGAGCAAATGCGCGAGGCAGTGCCCACGGAACGCATCCTGTATCCGTCCTACCTGAGTAATTTTGGAATACTTATATTGATTGCGATCGCTGTAATTGCACAACTTACACATCTTACAAAGATACTTCTGTTGTTGTCCATTGCCGGTGAGTTTTTGTCCAATCTGTAATAATGCATATTGAAAAATGTATTTACAAAACTGTAATTTTCCAGCTCTGCATTGCTACTTTAATATATTCATTATGCAAGACTTTTATGCTGTGGAGGATGATTTGGCACATCAACCGTAAGTATATATAAATTAATAAATAATTCCTTTAACATAAAAGATTGTTTCAAATTTTATTTTTAACTCTTTAATGCGAATTGTTCATATATGCCTATTTAAATAACCTTTCTTTTCCACCTCTCTAGTATAATATCTACACGATTTTGCGCCTCAGGACTTTTGGTGGTAGCTGCCTTAGCGTTAAGCACTTTGGCCAGACATGTAAGTGATAAATAATTAAGAAAGCAATTTATTTTGCATTCCTAATTTGTGTTTGTATTTTATTTAACTAATCCACGTAGATGGATCACGAGGATCGGGTAATTTTCAAATGGAAAACCGAGGTGGCCGAGCAAAAAGAGACCGCCAATGACATGCGGCAGAGGAATGAGGCTTTGGTCTACAATGTGTTGCCCGTTCATGTTGCGGAGCATTTCATGAAGAACACAAAACGCTCCCACGATGATTTATACTCGCAGAGTTATGCCGAGGTTGGAGTTTTGTTCGCCAGTATGCCAAATTTTTCGGGTATGATATAGGAGAAACCTTAAAGATTTAGAGTACATTCAAAACCGTTGGTTTTACAGATTTCTATTCGGAAGAGACCGTTAATAATCAGGGGCTGGAGTGTCTACGTTTTCTCAACGAGGTTATTTCCGATTTTGATGCGGTAAGGCGACTACTAGCCTTTACTTTTAGTTGAGAAACTTTTTAATATCACTAAGTCATATCTCATTTAGTTGCTGGAGCTGCCACAGTTCCAAGATATCATCAAAATCAAGACGATCGGTTCCACTTACATGGGCGCCAGCGGCATTAATCTGCAGCGCAATCTGCGAAGCGACGCTCCCATCACCGAGCGCTGGTCCCACCTGGCTGTTTTGGTGGAGTTCGCATTAGAACTGAAGCACGCCCTGCAGGGCATCAACGAACAGTCCTTCAATCATTTCGTCCTCAAGATGGGCATTAACCATGGCCCGATAACGGCGGGCGTTATTGGTGCCCGTAAGCCTCACTATGACATCTGGGGCAATACGGTAAACGTAGCATCCCGCATGGAGAGCACTGGAAAAGCGGGCGCCATTCAAGTCACTGAGGAGACATGCAACATTCTGCAGCAGTTTGGATACACATTTTTGCAACGTGGTTTGGTGGCTGTCAAAGGAAAGGGTCAACTGATGACCTACTATTTGCAGGTTAGTAATATAAAAAGCTAATTAAAAGTTTTCAGAAATGGCTGAAGTTTCTCTTATTGTGTGTATTTAACCTTGTAATTAGTTTTATAAAAGGTTAAATCGTATTCTTAATTTTTGTTTAACTATGGTTACCCTAAAGTTTCAGGTAGACTGCTTTCTTCCATGCTTTGCAAGTTTCTGGTCAAGTTAATGCAAGAGTATTAAAAATCACCAAGCTCGTATCTTACCTATAATCCTATGAGTTTTATTTTAATGAAAATTTATATTTAATAATGAGGTTTTAAACAATCAAGTTCTTTTTACCATATCCCCTAACTGCACTCAAATTCGCCGCAGAAGCTTAGTCGAGTCTCGAACAGTGGTTTCCAACTTGGGCGATCCAAAATGAATTTTATGAATCTTTATATCTCTATGCAGGGTATCATAATGAATGAATCATTTTAGTCATGTCTATTTAGTTATGTCCGTCCATCTGCTAGTTTTTGCTCAAATTAATCTCACAGTTATTCCTAATCTTAATGAAACTTTGCACTTTGCAAAAAGGTCTTTTTTCTATTCTCTTTTTTATATGTATAAGTCAGAACTAGAAAGATCAAAAGATCTTAAATTATGTTATTCTTTTCTTAGAATTTCATCTTTAAGCATTAAAATGCTAATCCTTATGATATATTTTTCTTTTAGGGCAAATCCCAGCCGAATGCAGAGCCAGAGGGAGCACCACCCTCCATTGAGTTGCATGGACCTGAGGCATTGGCTCTAGACTCCTCCACCGTCGAGCTGGAGTCCTCAGATATCAAGACGCCCCTACTAAAGATTAAAGCCCAGGAGCAGTCAGCGGAGACTGAGGGGATTGTTGTTCAAGAGTCAGAGACCTTGGGAAATGGAAACGCTGGCCCAATGGGTGGGGAATCGCAGTCCTTGCTTTAATAGTTTGCTAAGTTTCGTTTTAAATTTTTTGCACTTGAGTCTGTATGAGAGAGTGTGGACGTAAAAAATAGTCTCAGCGTGAAAGCCTGCGTGACTGTGTTAGTGAGAACAAAAGTTAACTGTTAAAAAGCTATTACTCTGGCTAAATATTTGTTTTTGCATCAGTATTCGTGTGATATTCTATTTCCAGTGCAGCAACATAAATTATAGATACCTTATAGATTTGCTTTCAAAAAGTTTTGAAAACGGCGTACCTAAGAACAAGAAATGTATTTCACTTTTAAGTAGATACATTGGACATTTTTAATTACCGTAAGTCTGTTTTTGTTTCAACAAAAATTGTTATCTCATTTTCAAGAACTGTAATATATGTTTACTTTGATTTAGTATCTTATCGATGTGTAGTTGAACTAGATCCACGTAAACCATATTTTGCATCTCAATGTGTAAGATATAAATATGCGCTTAAGCTACGGAAAAAACTTATAAATATAGTACGTTAGGTCCTAAAACATGGTATATTGAGAACGACAGTTAAGAGTCCGAATCCCACCACAAAAAAATGCAACCCACAAGTCAGTCCAAAAAGCAAGCAACACAAACGAATTATTAATGAATTAGTTAACGAAAAGAGCTAACAAATAGAAACAGTCGAAATGACTGGCAGAGAGAACAGATGAAAATCCTCGCCCTGCTTTCTTGGACGATACTAACAAATATATACACCCTCATATATGTATTTAGATATAAATAAATGTAAACTAATTTAAATATTACAATTACATAGCATTGCATGCTCATTAGAATTTCAACGAATTAGTAAAGAAACAACAAACGAATCAACTTACTTACCAAGGATAACGAAATCATAACAAGAAGTAGACAATTATTCGATCAGTAATCGGTTCCAATGCGTTGGTCCATCTCTCTCTCTTCCCTCCATAAATTTATTTTCTTCCTTCCGATGGCTAAAAGCGTGACAATCAAGACGAGAAAAACGGCTTCAATGATTGGGTTTGCTTCGAGAATGTCAAATTTCTATCCACTGGTTAACTACAACACAAAACAAACAACATAATTTAGGTACAAGTTTATTTAATATATTTAGGGAAACGCTTTAAATTTTGTCGATATATGTTGTGTTTTTAAGCTATGGCCACAAGGAACGAAATATATTTCAGCATTTGCGATTATTTTTCTTAACACATAAGATAAATAAAAGAGTAAAAAAAATGTAAACTTAGCAAATTATAGCGAAATAAATAAATTAACATCTTAAAAACGCTTCTTTTGGGGGGTACACGGGTACTATTAAGAGTAAGAAATTCCTAATTTAATAACTTAAGCTTATCTGTATATACTGGGAATAGAATAATGGGACTTTTTAGGTAAAAGACAAGTAAACATGATTACACTGAATTTTTAAATGATTGTAAGGACTTCCTACTTTTATAAAACTTACACTTAATTCTTTGTTAGGCTCACATCATCTCATAGGCTGATATCATCTTGGAATTTTAAATTTTAGCGGTATAGGCTAAAAACGCTATTATGAGCTCTGCAGTTATGAGAAAACGCAATTTTGAGATCTAAACCTCGAATACAAATTTGTAAAAGTTGATAAATCATTAATCTATTCTGCTATTCTGCATATTTGGCTTTGGTTTTACCAGCTTAATATGTGAGAGGATTTTATTTTTTAGTTTTTAAATAAAAGCGGGTTCAACAGCTGTGATACGCAGTGGAAACTCGCCATTTCTTTCCGTTTTATGTGTGATTGTAAGAGTGTGCGCGCGAGTATGCATCCCTGGCAGCGCCAGGGCAACTCTGTGTTATCGTCCGTCTGACATTTTTCTATAGCAAAAAAGTGCAAAAAATTAAATTCTCGGCGTAATTAATTAGTAAATAGAGTATTTTAAGCAGTAGGTGAGTATAGGAGACGACAAGCTACTGCGACTGCACCCCCTCGCTCTGCGTGGCAGTGACTGGTCAGCTGTGAAATGGGCCGAGGGCAAGGCCAACAAGCTGCCAAGCTGCGGCCGCGGCCCCCACACAAAAAGCGAGCGAGCTGCACGATTATGCCAAAAAGCAGAAGGAAAAGCAGTCGCCTCTGCCGACGTTGTTTGAGGGTCGTCCGTCCGCTTGAAACTGCCGTCGTGCAGACCGAGGAGCCTTGTGTCCTCTAATCACGCAACCGTCAAGCTCTAAATGTCGCACTCACCCGCAGCCAAAACACCTTCACATCCAGCCCCAGACGGAGGACCCAGGACCCGATCCAGACCCAGTCGAGATGTCGCTCAAGCCCAAAATAGTCGAGTTTGTTGATGTTTGGCCGCGCCTGCGCTGCATCGCCGAATCTGTGATAACTCTCACCAAGGTGGAGCGATCGGTATGGAACACAAGTTTCAGGTGAGTCTGCCAAACACAGCACCAGTCGTCGAAATAATAGCTCGAACAAATCGAAATGATATATTTGTGGTGCGTACTTGAAACTCTTAAATGAGGAGTTGGACAGAGTTAATCCTAACCACATAGTAAAGACATATTTCCTATCAATTACCTTTTATGGTAAAAAATGCCAGCTGGAGAGAAATAAATATTGGCAAATTAAGCATAGAATCGTCAATGAATTGCAGAAAATGTGTAATCTACAAAGCCCAATCAATCTCTTCTCTACTAATTCCAATTTAATTATGCAACCGTATTTAACTCGCAGAGAACTTTTTGTAATTCTTAGCCAGAATTGCATATAAATAAAAGTGCTATTATTTCGACCACCACTGTTTCTATATGTTTTGTGCAGCGTGAGTTGCCAAAATGTGGAATAGCTAAAATAAAACATACTAACACATTCATGTCGTTACCTCTACCCACATCCGTATAGCGACGTGTACACGCTGTGCGTGGCCCAGCCGGAACCGATGGCTGATCGCCTCTACAGTGAGACAAAGCACTTCCTTGAGCAGCACGTCCAGGAGATGCTGGCCAAAAAGGTGCTGATCGAGGGGGAAGGTTCCAACTCGAATGGCGGCCCAGACCTACTCCATAGATACTACACCACTTGGATGGAGTATAGCCAGGGGATTAAGTATTTGCATCAGCTCTACATGTAAGCAAACAGTTAGAGAGTAACCCAACCTGCTACACCAAGTAATCTACGTCCTCTCCCCTAGCTACCTTAACCAGCAACACATCAAGAAGCAAAAGATCACCGATACGGAATCGTTCTATGGAAATCTGTCTAGTGATGCCGCCGAGCAGATGGAGATTGGCGAGCTGGGACTCGACATTTGGCGCTTGTACATGGTTGAATATTTGGCCACCGAGCTCGTGCGCCACATCCTGGAGGGGATTGCTGCTGATAGGGCTAGCAACGGGACGCTGGATCATCACCGCGTCCAAATCATTAACGGCGTAATTCACAGTTTTGTGGAGGTGCAGGACTATAAGAAAACTGGATCGCTGAAGCTGTACCAGGAGCTCTTTGAGGGTCCCATGCTGGAGGCCAGCGGCACCTATTACACAGACGAGGCCAACAAGCTGCTTCAGCGCTGCTCTGTCTCGGAGTATATGCAGGAGGTTATCCGAATACTGGAGTACGAAAGTCGGCGAGCCCAAAAGTTCCTGCACTTCAGCTCGCTACAAAAGCTGCGCAAACAGTGCGAGGAGAAGTTCATCAACGATCGTCTGGGCTTCATCTACTCGGAGTGTCGCGAAATGGTATCCGAGGAGAGGCGGCAGGACCTGCGCAACATGTACATTGTGCTTAAGCCGATTCCCGACAACCTCAAGTCCGAGCTGATCACTACTTTCCTCGAACACATCAAGAATGAGGGCCTGCAGACTGTCGTCGCACTCAAGGGCGAAAACATTCATATAGCGTTTGTGGAAAACATGCTTAAGGTGCACCACAAGTTCCAGGAGCTAATTGCCGACGTCTTCGAAAACGACTCGCTCTTCCTTAGCGCGCTAGACAAGGCATGCGCTAGCGTCATCAATCGCCGTCCCACCGAGCGCCAGCCGTGCCGGAGCGCCGAATATGTGGCCAAATACTGTGATACGTTACTGAAGAAGTCGAAGACCTGCGAGGCGGAGATTGATCAGAAGCTCACCAACAATATAACCATTTTTAAGTATATCGAGGATAAGGATGTCTACCAGAAATTCTACAGTCGCCTATTGGCCAAGCGTCTTATCCATGAGCAAAGCCAAAGTATGGATGCTGAGGAGGGAATGATCAATCGATTGAAGGTATGCGTACTTACTGTCTTAATATGTAATTAAATAAGCCTCAAAAGAACATTTGAATTGGGAACACTGAGTGGATCCAAACTCTGAATTGCAAGAGATAGGCGTGCCGAAGTTAGCTTCCCTTCTTGTTTGTTTTATAGTTTTTATATAACAAGCGAACATTAAAATTCAATTATAAATTAGACAAAACACCAAAGGTACCTCGGGACACCTTTGTTCTTCAAGTACTGCATTATGTTTTTTCATAATAAAAGATTTTTTAAACATTTAAAAAGTGTATAGTAAACCAACTGATTTTTAACGCCTATCGAAGATTCAATATAACTCGTTTATTTGTATACATTCTCCAACAAATTTTAAATGTTTTTTTATATAGCATCATCAATTGACCCTTTAAATAAATATAATATAACCTCTATATTTTTTTTTATATTAATAATGTTCAACTTTTTGCCTAAATCTTATAGCAAGCCTGCGGCTATGAATTTACAAATAAACTCCATCGAATGTTTACGGATATATCGGTATCCACAGATCTAAACAACAAGTTTAATACTCACTTAAAGGACACAGATGTGGATTTGGGTGAGTTTTTTCATTATATCCGTATTTTAAATTTTTGTTTTAATAAAGCATATCAACTGTTCAGGTTTTAATCTCTCAATTAAGGTGCTGCAAGCAGGAGCTTGGCCTTTGGGATCGACACAAGTTATACCATTCGCAGTGCCACAGGAATTTGAGAAATCAATTAAAATGGTACGTTTTCATTTAATATTGAATAAAATTTATCCACCGCTACCACAGAAGGTTTATGAAGCTATAAAGGTAAAGGTAAACTTGTAAGACTCAACTAAGAAAGAATATTGTTTCCTATGTTTACTTTCTTATATCACCATCCATTGCCTACTTGCTTAGTACAAGATTGGGTAGGCACTATAGGATTTGAGATTTGAGAAAATTCGCGATCTATAAATTTGGTTTGACCTCGTTAGGAGGTTCTTTTATAATTATTCTTTAAAAAAAAGTCAACAGTCTACCACTTACAGGCTATTTGGTGAGCTTGCGTTACGTAAATAGCCCCTAACATAATATTTGTAAACACATTTTTCGATCCTTTAAATGCGTATTAATTGTCAGTTTTTTTGTAAAGTAGTCTCTCAGTTTTAAAACTATTTCTATTACAGGAACGGAACAGGACTGATCAGATATTTTTAAATCATAGCATTATTTTTTATCAACGTATTTCCATATATATATATCTTTCAGTTCGAGGACTATTACCATATATTGTTTAGTGGTCGAAAGCTAACCTGGCTGCATCACATGTGTCACGGCGAACTGAAATTGGGTCACCTAAAGAAGTCGTACATCGTAACGATGCAAACGTACCAGATGGCGATAATTCTGCTATTTGAGACCTGTGACAGTCTTACGTGTCGGGAAATACAATATACGCTTCAGTTGAACGATGAAACGTTTCAGAAGCATATGCAGCCAATGATCGAGTCGAAGCTGTTGAATGCCAGCTCAGCAGAGAATCTCGCCGGGGAAACTAGAATTGAGTTGAATTTGGATTACACGAATAAGCGTACAAAGTTTAAGATAAGCTCGGCTTTGCAAAAGGAAACGCCCCAGGAGGTAAGGAGAGACCCATTGCAATTGAAATGCGTTTTTATGATTTTTGATTATATATTATCTATTAGGTCGAACACACAATCAATTCGGTTGACGAGGATCGCAAACTCTTCCTGCAGGCTGCCATAGTAAGAATTATGAAATCACGCAAGGTCCTAAAGCACAATGCACTAATACAAGAGGTATAAGTAAAAAATAACCCTATATTAAATCTAATAATTACCAATTATATTTTCAATTATAGGTTCTCTCATTATCAAAGGTTAGCTTTACGCCTAACATAGCCATGATCAAGAAGTGTGTGGAGTCTTTAATCGATAAACAATATATAGAGCGAACAGCGAATTCGGGAGATGAATATAGCTACATGGCCTAGACTAAAGGAGAGAATATTTGATTCTGAAAAAAAAACCCAATTAAATACACACTGACAACAAGCACACAAAGAGTAATTCTTGGCGAAAGGCGGCTAACTCATTTTGTTTAAAGCATCTGAAGCATGGACAGGACCCTAGTGGACAACCAACATCCTTATGCTTAAAATATTCGTTATGGAAGAAACAAAAGAATTTTTAGGCTACCTTGTTTTTGTTCTCTAATTTGGCCCAATTGGAATAAAAGTTGGTTTTGTTACTCGATACTTTATAATTTAGATTAGTTAGTTTTGCCCTATTTTTATTTAATGCGTGAATCCTATATAAGTGTAGACATGTATATTTCTTTCATGTATTTGTATATTTATCTGTTTTTATGCGCGCGCACACACATACACACAAAGCAAATCTATGGAGGAGAATGTAAAATAAACAACAAAAAACATATGATACCCACGGTATAATTCTACCATTGCCCCCTCAGCAGATACCGCATTAAATTGGCTGCAGATTACACAGATTATGGAAAAACTATATTTATTTATAAAAGATCTACGCTCAATTATCATCTTTTCATTGCTCATTATTATTTGTTTAATATATATTTCGAAACAGCAAAGTGCTATTATTTTTCATTTGCCCTTATATATTTTTAAAATCTAATTTTCAAGTTTGTTCTTTTTGTGTTTTTGGTGAGGCTTTGCTTTTTATTTAATTCTTTATTGTATTTGTCATTCATTTTAAAAATTGTGTGAAGCTTGTGGTATACAATTCATTTCAAACAACACAGCAAATGGTCTCCAAAATTATATATTAAATAAAAAATTATCAACTGATTAGAATTTCCATTTCGGATAGCTTTCGTTTCAGTTCTGGAATGTAAAATAATGCAAATATTATGAGTTTTAAGTGTGTTTCCTCTTTTGTTGTAGTTTTTATCATTTACATATATGTATATGCATAAGTACATATGTATATGTATCTAACTTTAGTAGACAAGGGCCATGGATTACTTTTTGTTTTAAATTGTTTTATTCGTTTCACATGCTACTTTTCTAAAAAATATATTCAATAATGTTAAATCAAGTAATTGTACATATATATAATTAATTTTAATAAATACCAACTTGCTATAGCATAATGTGTAATTCGTTAATAATACTTGAAACTTGCTCCTTTGGGCGCCAGCTCCTTGCTGTTTAAAAAAATGCCGCCAATTATTTCAATCGCTGCGCAGGCTTTTCTTCAGTGAGTGTTAATAAAAAATATGTATCTTCCATATGTATATGTATATATATCTATCGTTTATTTATTTATTTTTTTCATTTATATTTAATGACTAGTAAACGTTTACAGTTTTGTTGCTTCTTGCAGTTTTCTCTGGCTCCAAATACCCACTTTTACTCTCGTTCAAAATTTGAAAAATGCATTGTGTGGTGTAAAATCGTCTTGAGCATTCATTTTGCTTTTAATTTTTTTTTAGGATGTTGGTTTTCGTAATCCATTTCGAATTGGCTTTCGTCGAAAAATTCTTTGAAATGTGGAGGGCGTAACTTCGTTCTTTTTAAATTTTTACAAAATTAAATTATGTTGATCGTGGATTTCAATTTATCTTAATATTGTAAATGGCCTTTAGATTACGTTCTCATTGGTAGTGGTTGGCTTGAGTTTCTTTTCAAGAGTGAAACACTTCCGGCTCCTCTTCTCTTATTGCACTCTGCCCGTGCACTTTAGCTTCGCTGTATCCCGAAAGCCGTTTATAAACTCATTTAAAAGAGGACAACCAAAACGTATTCCTCAGTTACAAAAAATAGTGTTTTGTAACTATTTTAAACATCATAATAAAGTAAGTAATGTTGTTGCTTAGAACCCTAAGCGGTTCAGTTATAGTCCAAACTATGCGTATATATCGCTCATATCTATATACGTATATATAAATTCAGTGCTTTTATATAAGTTGTCAGTTTCTTCTTCTGCGCCGGTTTCGCTAAGTTTTTGGTTTCTAATGGCCATGAAATATGAAGTTGCATTTAATTGATGTGGTGTCGGTGTCGGGAATAGTTAAGGGTAAATATATATAGCCTCAAATTTATATTGCCGCATGTTTTCAGTTTTCTTTTTTCGTTCGTGTTTGTTGGGAGTATAGAGTATGGCTTTCATATGTTTATTTAGTTTCATTTCATATTAAGTTTGCTTAAATTTTGCTTTGTAGTTTTACGCTTTCTTTTCAGTCTTTACGATTCACGGCATTTGTGCTTTTTATTTATTTTATTTTTTTAATATGACCGTCAAAATTGCTTCAATTATTTTCAAGATGAATGACCAATCAAACACGAGCATGAGCACGAGGAATTGCTGAAAGGTCAGGGTGATCGATTGGGTGCAGAGATAATCTGTCAACTTTTGACCCTATATAAACGTGAGTGTATGCAAGTGCAGGGTTATTATCGTCTTCATTGCTATTATCGTATGCTTTTCTGGGCAGTTTTTCAGTTTTAACTTCTCTATTGCTCCATAGAGACGGTTTTCGTGCGTTTCCACAGGGACTTAAAAAGGCCCTTCTTCTTCGTTTTCGTATTGGTGGTTGTCACATCCGAGTCTACACTGTCCGTCTTGCGACTGTTATCCTTTCGTTTGGCAGAACCTGCAAACACATAAAATTTGTTCAATATTTCTTCCCTTTGTAAAATATTTATAATGAAAATACATTTTTCTAAATAATTTTTAAGCCTTATGGGGCCCATCCACAGTAGAACATGTTGGCCGAGCATGTTGAGCTCGACGAAATTTTCATCGTTAGTGCTAGTGCTCGCGTACAAATTTCGTGTTCGTCGAGCCGCTCGAACAAAATAGAAATCATTCTATCTTGCTTGTGTTGGCGACAACATGCTCGACAATGGATGACAACGTTGGCACGAACATCATTTAAAGCAAACGTTTGAAGCGACAACACCTAATAGAGCAGCTCTAAGATGTCAAAACAATTTACATTAATTGCCAAAAGTGCCATTATAGTGGCGCTGTCGTTGTCCGTTGCCATGTTTGCTTCTCAAAGATTTGCCAGCAAATGATGTTTGCGAGCATGTTCCCACTAGTTGGTGGCAAATGAAATTTTTGCTCGACGACCGGCTCGGTCATCATGTTCTACTGTGGATCAGTGTTGCCAGGTTAGCTTATTATAAGCTAGTTCTAGCATATTTGAAACTAGAAAAGCTTGAAAAATTTCCATCTAGCTTATAGCTTGAAATATAGCTTATTTTAAAATTCATCTAGCATATTTTAGCTTTTTATGTATTTTTGACATCCACGGAATGTTTTTTACGAAAAATATGCTTTATAGCATGAAAATATTGGAGTTTGTTCTTTTTTTCCGATGGTTATGTGCATTTTATGTGATCGTGAACTTATTTCTAATCGAAAGTGTTATCGGAGATCGATTTGTTGGCTGAAGTGTTACCACCAATAATTTTGTTGTGTTGTGAAAATAGGTAAAGCGTGTCCTCAAAATGCCGAAAGTTATATATAAACAGATTTTTCGGGATGCTTGGCTCCAAAACAACGAATTTAAGTGCCAGGAGAAGGAACCAAAGCATATTGTTGCTACTGTAAGTCGACAATATCAGCCAAAATTTTTTAAATCAGGCAGCATGCGGCATCGAAAAAGCACATTTTATCAATGAGATCAGTTGCTGAATCGCAAAAAATAAATTTTCCGGCTAAGTGTTGCAAGACTCAGGATCAGGAAGCAGCGCTTTGTTTGTTCATTGCCGAACACTCGGCGACGAACAACATGAAGGAATTGATGAAATATTAACTAATTTGTTTTAAGTGCTTACTTTAAGAACATATTTTTAAGACTTTCTTTAATAATAACATATTCATATAATATAATAATATATATTATATGTTTCGTGTTTTCTCATATTTGGGTGTAGCTTGTTTTTTCGCATTTTTTAAAAATTGTTTAGCTTATTCTAGCTTATTTTTTTTTTAAATCTAGCTTATATGGGCGCTCATCACCTGGCAACACTGCTGTGGATGGGCCCCATAACTCAAAATAATAACTTATATTGTATTAAATAATTTTATTCAGAAGTTTGAAACAGTAAAGAACTCAATTCCGAATCTTTAAAGTATGTATTCTTCAACAGCCCACTTGACCTAGCTGATTCATTCTCTCTATCCGTCCGTCTCTTTACAGAAAACAAAATACATACATTTTTTCAGATTGTCTTCATTTGATTTTATTTACTAAATAAGTTGGAACGAGAGCGTATTACTCTACCATATAAAGGAAATAGGAACAATCGGGAAATTAATCGGAAAAAATGATTACTTCACCGTGTATTAAACATAATCTGGTTTACTATGAACATTTCTAATGATTCTATGATTTTATTTCTAATTTTATCATATAACATCCGAGTTTTATAAAAATTAATTAATGAAAAGTTCAGTGGAAAAGTGATTCGAGAACATCAGAATTAAAACTGCATATAAGTTGGCAGCTCCTTTTGACAATAAATAATTGTAAATATACTATTACTGCCTTTATTTTGCTATTAAGCATAAATTTAACGAATAGAATAAATCTTAACTCTGAGTTAACTTCTAAAAGTCAACTTAAATATGTTGATACAAAAACGATTGCAAAAAGGTTGTGAAAACCAGAGCATTCTCAAACCGAAACATAAATTCTAATTCCGAGAGACTAAAATGAATAATAAATTCAGAGTCTGTTAAATGGCTAACTAATTTAGAAAAATAATTAATTTAATCTCACCTGATTCGAACTCATAGGCATGCTTGCTAATGGTATCATCCATAGCCTGATCACAGTATGTCTTGTGCTTCCGATCCTTGTGGTTTTCTGCGGTAAATTGAACATTTTCATATTGTAAGTTAAGGTATTTTGCGAGGCTTCATAGTTATATTTCAAATAAAGTTATACATTTGTCGAATGAATTTCAAAACCGTTGCCAGTTCTATTTCATTTCCTTTTGTTATTTCAGCTAGCTTTGTTTCTATTAGAGACTTACTTTTCTTGGTGATCAGTAGGCTTGTTACTCGTCGTAGTGCCTCACGCGGTGATTTATTCAAGAAGGAAGGCGTCAGATTTGGTGGCAGAGTCAGGGGCTTGCGGGATTGTCCTGTTCCCGACATACCCGCCGGATTATCCCAAACCCGCACGGAAGCTAAGCGATCGATGTTCTCTGTGGAAGCTGGACGCATTCCTCGTTGCTTTGGATACCATCCGCGGGCAGGGACCCCAGTCATCCTAAGCATCTCATTGGAAGCTAATGCGTGATTAATCGATCGCTGACGGCAAATTTGGGCCGTACCGTAGTTGCCACCTAATTGATTGAATTGCAAAAGGTTATTCAAAGAAGAGATGATATATTAATTTAATAATATCATGGTCGACACATAAGAAAGAAATAACAAGAAATGAAGCTACAGTCGAATCCCGATAATTCGTACCCCGCTAAATCGAAAATCGCGATAATTCGTAAAAAATTCTGTCCCCTTGAAAAAAACTCGTTAATTCGTAAAAATTCCATACATTTTGGTCCCCTCGTTAATTCGTAGTATTTGGCGCAACGCAAAGAATATTGAACCTCTTATAAATCGTAATTTTGTTTCGAAACCTCTTATAAATCGTAATGCGATGCGAAATATTTTGTAGTTAAAGCGACGTTAGATTTTGCAGACATCAGAACGGAGAAGAAATTTTATAGAATTTACAAACCAGAGCATTAATTCCTCAACTTAAACATTATTTTTCGACTCATGATGTGCCAAATAGTGTGTGACAACCTAATAGGTTTAGAAAACGCAATGGAAAAAATAAAAGAAAAAAACACGAAGCAATCAAAAATTACCAATTATTTTAAAGCTTGAATTTTCGTTTTTAATAATTTAATGTTTCTGCTTAATTTTGTTTGTTAATTTTTTGTTTAATTTTCCTTTAATTTGAAAAACGTACAAATGAATGTACATATTTATTATGTTTGTTTAATTTTAATAAAGCTAAATACATACATATGTAAACATGATGTGAAATGTAAGTACCCCGTTTATTCGACTCTTTCATTTTTGAGCCCCTTTAAATAGAAATCTCGATAAATCGAATTCCCGTCTAATTCGTAAAAAAAGTGATCCCCTTGCCATTTCGAATTATCGGGACTCGACTGTATTTGGCAAGACAAAGTTTATGTACCCTTGCATTGTTTGTTTAAACGTTATGACATCAATGTTTACGAACATTTTTCACTGGTCATAGTGGACAAATTCTGTAACTTAGACAGACATCTTAGACCACATCTCGGAGTTTCTGAATTTATGAATAACAAGAAAGGAAGCTAACTTAAGCACGCCGAAGTTTATATACCCTTGCAGATAGAACTTCGATGACTAGGAATCAATATAATATAAATTATATTATTTTTGTAAAAAAGGAATGAAGTAATACCTGCTTTTATTTCATTCACCTGTACATATTATATAAATATTTACAGTTTTACATTCACAGATTTGCATTTTTCATCTCTATCTAACGATCTTTTGTATATGGCAGCTATATGATATAGTTGTCCGATCAGGCCCGTTCCGACATATATACGAGTGAGAGTATATAGAAGACTAACTACAAAGTTTCATTCAGAAACTGCATTTCAATCTTCTGACTTAAATTATAATACCCTGTAAGGGTATAAAAAGACAGCAAAACGAAGCATTGCAAATTCTTTTTGTAAGTTTAAAGTAAAGACAATTAATTGAGTGAAGTTGAAAATGAAGGAAGGTAATGAAAAAGTTAAATTTGCATAACTTATTTTGCTTTGGCAAACAATAATGTTCTTCGCTCGATGCAAAGAAACACTGTATTAATTGCAAATTTTTACTTACCACCAATACCCATAATAGATGTGCCCATATTTATACTGTTAGATGTGCTGGATCTGGGCGCTGTGCGCGAGCCACTGACAACTGGCAGCGGCTCATTTTGGCGTCTATATGGCGTGCGTGGAATGTCGCAACTGCGGGGAAAATATAATTAAATATTTTAGAAACAATTTTGCTTGCACGCTTACACTTACCCTCTTGCAAAAATTGGAGTTTCTGGAAGACTACATGATGTCTGCAGGCGGTGCTCCTCGCGAGGCGATTGTTTGAGGCTGCGCTTGGTGCCATAATTAATGTACCGTCGTTGATAGGATCCGGAGCCGGTTCCACAAGCCATTCCATCCATAGCGGGCATCGGTGGTAGGGGTCCCAGACCAGTGGGCGTGGTTATTCCGCTGCCACCACCGCTGCTATAGTGACCGAATAGCTTGGGCGACCGCTTCCGATACTGCGAGTCAATGCTCCACGATTTTATGGTGTTTGTCGAAGGACCTCCTCCGCCGACAACTCTATGCGGTGGCACCATTGGTGGTCCAGGCAGGACCTCTTGATGAGCCGGAGCCGGAGGCGGTGGCAACTCATCATTAAAATGACGCACGGCGGTGACATTGTCGCGACTGCGGCGAATGTGGCTGTTGCTGGTGTGCACCGCTGCTCCAGAAGCAGTGGCATGCACCTCCACAACGGTGGTTCCCCGATTCGGAAGTGGGGCAACGGCACTTGCCGCCAGCGCTGCTGACGGCAACTCAAGCTGCTTGCGCGGCTCAACTGGCGACGGCGGCAAGGGAGCGTCGTAGTCGAAGTCCGGAAGCTTGGAACTTGGGGGTGGCGATGGAGGCAATGGGCCAAAATTTGGCATCTGTGACAACAACATCTCCTTGGCACTCTCAGATTTGTGAACGCCTGGGCGAAACTCAAGAATCCGCTTGGCATGCAGCTCGGCCGCGGCAGCTGCAGAGAGTCCAACGGCTCCCCCAGATGCTCCAGCAGCGTTGCTGCAACCAGTTTGCTGACCCACAATGGGAATGTCGCCGCGCAGCAATGCGCTTATGTTATGCTCAATTTGCAGCAGTGGAGCACATCCAAAGCTTAGGTCGGATAGCTCTTCGTCCTCCTCCAGAGTGGGAGCCAGATCTGTATGGGGAGTGGTGGCGTTTGAGACTCGCTGATCTAGATTAAGCAAAAAATTAATATACACATATTATTATACATATTAAATGCAAAACTTACCATTCCCGTTAAAGGCGTACAAATCAAAACTTCCGCTTCCATTTAGACGAGCCTCATCAAACTCCTCGCTGCTGGAGGTGTTGTTATCCGGCATAGACTCGGCACTTAGTCGCTTCTCGGTCAGCATGGCCGTCTTGCTCTTAGTTGGCTTGCAGTGACTAAGCTGTTCAGCTGCATCAGCAATATCCAGCGAGAGGGCTGCTCGTTGGGCGGCCGCCATTTCTAGTCCACGTCGTGTTTGAGCCGCATTAGCTTCGCACTCCTTATACACGAAATTCATTTCGGCGGAGGTGGCAGAGGTCGGTGGGTGAAGGGGTACGGTTACGGAGACGGGAACGGGCACGGGTAAGGGAAGTGGAAGAGGAGCCGCATCGCTTGGCTCACTATCGCTTGTGTAGAACTCGTTGCTGATGGCACCGACATTGGCTCCTCCGGACCCATTGCCTGTTCTCTCGCCCAACGAGGGGCGCGGCGGTTTCGGTATACTAAACACTTCTGAGGCACGGGGCGGCTTTTTGGCCGTAGAACGTCGTATGATAAATGTTCCTTTTCCCAGCATACTTTGCTGATTGTACGCAAAGTTGCTGCCAAAGTCTTCCGTGTTGTTATTCTATTGGGTACGAGAAATTGAATATACAGTACAAGACTTCATTTTATTTGTAGTTCAATAGAAAACGTACCTTTTTGGAAGCACCAGCGTTGGTGATTTTTTGGAACCACAAGTTTTTTTTTTTGCATTATTCTTGAAGTGGATCTCCCAGGCAACACCGTTCTGTTTAACAGGTGTAAGATCTGTCGAGATGGTAGACTCCTCCAAAGAATCCTCCGAGTAATCCTCATCCCGCCGGCCAACAGCCAGCTTCGATGTCGCCACATTAACGTGCGAGGCAGCTGGCGAGCCCTCGCCACTTGAATTGGACGATGAGGCCGAGGAGCTGTTTGAATGGGGGTGGAGCATGTGGCACACCTCCTTATGCTTCTCGACCGAACTGAGCAGTCGCTTTCCACGCGCTCCTCCGTCTCCGCCCGAAGACGACTTCGAGGAGGAGGGTCCCGGATAGATGGTCACAGGATGTTCGTTGACAAACGGCTCTGGCAGTTTGGCCAGATTTCCCCGCAATACCGCATTATGAACGGCGCTAATATCGATTCCCAGAGCGTTGCGTCCACCGTTACAGCTCCCGCCTGCATGTCGGATGGCTGCTAATCCACTTGAGGACTTGCCAACAGAGGTTCCGATCAAATTCGATGTCCTGCTGGCCCCGCAACACGGAAGACTCGAAAACTTCGAGTCGCTGGCAGGAGTCGAGCCTGAACTCCGTGCCTTTGGCTAAGTGACAGTGTTTAGGAGACGAGAAGAGGTGATTCAGTAAGTTAATTGGTTTCCCATTAGCACTACCGTACTCACCAGCGTTGTTTGAATCAGGGGCGTTGTCGTTTTCTGCCCTTGCTCCTCCACCTCGTTTAATTTGGTTAAATTCTCCGCCGTACCATCCTCATTAAAGCTGCCCTCCGGCACGGTGTCGGTGCTGGGCGTCTGTGGCACATCTTCCGAATCCTTTTTGGACATGCTGTTACATGTTAAAAAAAGACAAATACCATCAAAAAAATAATAATAAAGACCATAAAAATCATAAAATTAATTGCCATATGCAAGAAATTATTTTAGCAAGAAATTAAATTGTACCTATCTCGTTAGCATAAAGTCGAGACCGTAAAAATTCAACGTATCTCTACGTACAGATCTAGAATATTTAGATCTACTATGTACACATAAAGGCATAGTGTCGATGTATGCAAACAGAAGAAATATTCGACTACAAAAAAAATATATATTGTGGCGTTACTCATCTGTTTATTGTAAGGTTATTTCATTTAGGAAAGAATAACATTAGAATGTTTTTGGATTTGTATACCCCGTACTCATAGGGTACCATAATTAATTCCCAGTATATGCCAAATACAAAATAAGATATTTTCAACCCCTTAAAGTAAATATGCATGTATATACTATAATTAGCCATCTCAGTTTACCCTCGGTTTGGCAGATGTTCTCATCTACTCCTGCACAATGTCAAATTACTATTTGGGAAATTACCTTTTGCCTGCATTGACAGATTTGTAAGCTATACTCACTTTTTGCGACTTAGACTCATATAGCCATCATCCTCGGACTGGTTCTCCCCACTGTTACAGTGCAAGGCACTCGGTTTTGTTGCTGCCTCTTCGAACTCCGAGATGATGTCGTCAAGCACTTTAATGGGCTCGGGTATGTCATCCAAGGAGATGGGCTCCAGCGACTGCAGTTGATCATCCCTGTTAAAATAAGAAAACATTAATTTTTAATTAAAAGTTTGCAACTTTAAATCTATATTAACCTATTTCGCGCTCTCAAATTAATTGAAATAATCTCGTCTGCAAAACATTGAAACTTTAAAATGTAAGAGTTTCATATAACATGCTTCTAAAATTGCTATCGTATAAAGTCCTTCGTTTGCAGTATGAATTATTTATACTTATTTGTCTCATGAGACTGTCTTCGGCTGTATTTAACAAAAAACAAAGTCAGTAACTTACTGTTGTATTTCTAGTTCAGATGCAGCTCCGTATGAATCTGGCTCTGCTGCAGCCTCGACCTCCACCTCCTGCGGATTTAATACTGTCTGGGAATCCGACTGTTTGCCAGAATAAAGCGCATCGTCGCTGCCCTCCTGTCCGTTTGCATCGCATAATACACACGATTCAGGTGACGCTTCCATTATACGATTTTCATTGAAACCATCGACGATCTTCTCTGCAGTTCCTCTTTTAACTTTGGGTTTGTTTTACAAATTTAATTAAAGCATCCACAAACGTCGTAGTCGCTGACGCTGTAGCTGGCGCCTCCGACAGCGTTGCGACTGACGTTTCCCTTTTGCCGGCGGTTTCAATGTTCATCTATATTATATAAGAAAGTAGAATCAAGAGTTAAAATCCATAGTACAATCTATTGTGTGTAAACCCCATTAAAACATTGTTAAAGGAAAACAGAGAAGACTCCAAGCATTTCCTAACAAGATCCTTCTTAGTCTCCCTAATATTCATTTCCCATTCCCAAGAGCGGAAATAGAAAAAGAAATATCCCTAATAGAATTATAATCACTTAGGATCAGACTTCTTCTCCTATAGTATGGATAACCTCAATTTCCTTCAAATCCAGAATGCTTCACCACCTCAATTCTATAAACAAAGCCCGATCAAATCCATACTAAACCCCAAAACAAAACTACCGCCCAATTTCTCTTAACCCGTGCCAAAGTCCTTGACAGAATCGTAGCGAAAAGGTTAAGCCGGTTTGTATTACCCAACAAACTAAGATCGGGTTTAAAAGAGGGTTTTGCATTTTTCTCTATATCTTGCAATCGTTTGTATGGCAGCGATTTTCATAATATTAAAATCGAAATTCTAAAATAATACAAAATATCTATTTTTTTTTTTAAATTACTAGGAAGTGGCCTCACATTGTATAACTACACAATCATATCATGAGAGAGAGGGGATGGTGCATGCGGTTTTAAGTTATCTTTTATAATAAAGTTTTGTGCTAATAATGTATTTTTTATAATTTGGAGTTGAAGGTATAATATTAACTTTAAGATAAATTCGAAACTGAAAATTGAATTTTTGTATGATTTAGGTAATTTAATTTAATCTGCTAGGACCAGAACCATTTGTAATTGAACAATAAGTTGCGAAAATAAGATTATAAATTTTTAAACCAAAAAACTTTCAAATTGTTTACACTTAGTAATCTCTGATAGACGCGACTTTCTCGAAGGTAATTATTATGTTCACATGATTGTATATACATTTTTTTTACGTGTGAGGTTTGCAAATACATGTGTGGTCCACTTTTATATTGCAGAACCCAATTAGCCCCATTAAAATATATTTTCTTGAGCCAGCTAATCTACAGATGTATGTACACATGTAGCTGTCATAGAAATAATCTGGAATTTGACTCCATTTTCAAAATATATGCACATATGTATCTAAAATATAACCCTATTTTATTGCAGAACTTTGGTTTTTATAACTACTTGATGACTATTTCAAAGAAGGAACGATCGGTTAAAATATCTTTTTAATTTAATAAAAATCTGATGCCCATACATAGCTGCCATAGGAATATCGGTACATTTTTATAAGTCGATAGAAAAATCTTGTTTATAGATCCTTTTTTTAATATAGACTTTTATTTCAATCGAAACAATTGCAAACTGCATTGGTACACTTCCTTTGTTCTGAATCTTTTTTACAACGAAAAATCTCGATACGTTCATTTTCGTTCATTTTGGTGCAGAGTAAGGAGGTGCGAGAGGACAACAAAAGCAACAACAACGTGAGAAAGCACGCTATTCGCACTCCTTATGTCGCCGTTGCGTTGTCTTCATTCATATTTTCTATACACTTTGGGGTCGTCCCCGTGAGAGGAGTTTGAGTCAGGCGCATTCATACACACTTTTTGACGCCCCCCACCTACACACGCGCGCACTCATACTCTCTGTGATGCTATGTATGTATATATAAACACGTTTTTCTTATTTTGCCAATAGGTGGCCTAAAAACACTTATGTATGTATGTATGTATGAACGGATGCAATCAGCGATAAAAATAAAAGTTTTCAACAGTTGAGTTTCCAATACGGGAAAAATTCATTTCCGGGCCTATAATCGGCGAATATCTGTAGAAGTCGGGCTCTAACGGTCTAACCACATCACCCACACGCCCGAGCACAGGCAACTTTGTCTAGCTGTAAAATTTACTGCTGCAGTCGGCGGCGTCGCTGCTTTGGCTTCTGCTCTTCTTTCTTTTCCTTTCCTTTCGTTTCCTTTACTGAATGAAGTTACAGCAGGGAGTCTGGAATCGATTTTTTCACACATTTATACATACATACATGCATATGCAGACGCGTACACTGAAACTCCGGCACACCAACGCACTTACACGAGCTCTATTTTTTGTCTGCCAAATAATTATAGTTGAAAGCTTTTGCTAACATGTCAAAAGGTCAAATCAAAAGTCTTCCAATTGGAAATGTTGCTAAAAATAGATTAACTCAAAGCGTAGGGAAAACCGAAACGAAGAGGCACGGAGAGAGAGGGACATAGCGAACGAGTGGGTGGTAATTGTAATGACAGACGCCACGGCGACGTTAATGTAACGGAAACAAAGCAAAAAGCTGACTTAGGGAAATTACCGAGGGCATTTCGCATTTTGAGCACTTCACAAACAAAGCTTCATCCTACACACATGCGTACCTATGTATGAGCACTTCGCGTTTTAAGCCGCGTTCTAAGCCTTTTCTCCCAACCGTCCAGCGAATCGACCTTTTGTTTATGACCTGAACGTTGGCGAATCTAGGGACACTGTTGTCAGTTTAGCTTACTTCAGGCTATATCTAGCATTTTTAAAAATGGAAAAGCTTATGAACTTTTCAACTAGCTTATAGCCTAAGAAGTCGCTTTTATATTTTATATTTGTTTTATATTATATATTATATTCATACTACGTTTTTTTATAAGAAATATAAAAATATAATACTAAATAAAAATATATAAAATAAAGAAAAATATTTACATCTAGATTACTTTAATTAAAAAAAAACTTTTAACTGTTTGAAAGGAAAAAATAGTTAAAAAAAAATAAAATAAAAGTACTATGATTATCTCATGCCTTACCTTCATCTACCTTAAAAAATGTATAATTTGCTGAAAAGATCATGTTATAAATAAAACAAAAATTATTGTTACTCTACAGTGCAATTCTATAAGAAAGCCTTGTAAATCCTCTGCCTCTGGCGTAATTTTTTCTTTAATTAATGATAATAATAAATATAATAAAATAAATAAATAAATAAATATAATATTGTATACATTTTGGTTACAACTTTTTTTTACACATATGTTTTTTATATTAGCCGGTTTTAGCTAATTTTTGCTCAGAATCTAGCTTGTGCTGGTTTTAATAACCTGGCAACACTGTCTAGAGATGTCAGATCTATTCATATACTGAAAATGTCATTATCGATGATTTTACGTTCATTCAAAGTGTGGTGTTATAAACGCCGGTTGTGACCTTTGACTGTATATAAAATGTTTTTATTTTTATTTGTGTTGGTCTTGGTTATTAAAATTTTACCTGTCCTTATTAAGACATAATTTTTTTTTTTAATAATATCACAAGGACTGTATGGAATTCTACGTTATATATAATTCCATTTATAATCAGAGGATTACCGATTAAATGAGTGAATGATTGAATAACAGCATTACATTCAACCTGATAGGGAGCGAAACGAACCATTTCACCCGCTAAATTTTAGACCAAAACCGAGCCATATATAATCGTTATTTTTTTTTAAAACCACTAAACCTTTTATTTAGCAATCCAAAACGTGATTTGAACGAGTTTTGTAGATAAATGGCGTTTTAGTCATTTCGCCGATATTTTCAGTAGCAAAATAACTAAATGTAGCGAACGTGCATTTTGTATATAACAGATGTTTCCAGCTGCCGGTATTTTAGTCATTTAGCAACATATGGGACATTCAGATTGTATTCGATTTTTTGAAAACCACTCGATATTCTTATCGATATGGTTTGTTTGCCTAAAAATACAATTTTATTTAATATAAAAGTTTAAAAAATGTAACGCAAAAATATCCGAATTTTTAAGACTCGACCAAGTATCTGTAGAAGTGGTTTTTTCATATTATTGATGTTTAATATAGCGTAGACAGCTTATCCTTTTTGCTCGAAGGGCTAAGCTAAATAATTATAATTACCCGGAATTCTAGTTCTCTTACAAATCTTCTTGGAACAAACCCGATGCTATCCATCCCATTCCTCCTTCTAAATCGATTCAAGTTTGGAGAAAGCTTTTGATTTCGTATATAAACTTAAGCATGTAATCATTTACTTGATTTATTATGTTGTTTTACTGTTATACAATTAATAATCATCAAAATTTCTTTAATGTTTTTGTGTTTTTATTTGATTTAAAACACTGCCAACGGCCTCAGATGTAATAATTGGCCAACTGAATTTGTATGTCGTTTTCGGTATCTCCACTTTGTTCTAGGTTCTTCCCGCTCAGCCAGCTGCACATCGATGTTCTTGTGTGGGGATTGGGTAGGGAAAAATGGTGATTTACAACTTGTCCAAGTACTGGGACAGATCGGGCAGACCTTCCTTCAGTCCCTTGCGTTTACGCGTGTCCTGGACAATCTGGTAAGGCTTGCTAGCAGGCTCGGACGGATCGCCGGGCAGCACTTGCCAATGATCGAAGACGCATTGGGGGAAGGCCTGGCCACCGGTGTTGGAGCGTAGATCGGCAGTGAACCCGAACGACTCGTTGACGGGCAGATATGCCTTCACCACGAACATGGGCGTTCCCACAACCTGGTTTTCCTCGAACACATGGCCACGACGCCTGTTCAGCACACCGTAGATACCACCAACAGCCACCTCGGGACATTGGATCTCGCACAGATAAACGGGCTCCATCAAACGCGGCTTGGCGGTGATAGCGGCGGCATACAAACAACGACGAGTAGTTGGAATGATCTGGCCACCTCCACGATGGATGGCATCAGCGTGCAGGGTCACATCGTAGATGTTGAAGCGAACTCCACGCATGTTCTCGTCAGCCAGGATACCCTCCTTGGAGGCCCACTGGAAGCCAGCAACAACAGAGTCCTTGATTTCGTTCAGGTACTGCACGGACTTGGTGCAGTCGAGGACGAAGTTGGGTCCGGTGCCGTCGGGACCGAAGCACCAGATCTTACGGGCCTCAGTCACATCGTAGTCGTACTTCTCAGACAGGTAACGAGCACGGGACTTGAACTCGTCCTTAGAGCTCACGTCACCATTATCGATATCTTCGGGCAGACCGTCAGGCATGGGAAGGGCCTTCATCAGCAGACGGTTGTGCTTGTTGGGCGACTTTGACAGACACATCTGGTCAGATTCCTCGGACACTGTCTCGCGGTACGACACCACGGGATCGGACTTCTTCAAGGGGATGCAAGCGTGATCCTCTTCCAGATCCTTCAGGCAAATTTCCAAATGCAGCTCACCGGCACCAGCAATGATGTGCTCTCCAGACTCCTCAATGATGCACTGCACCATAGGATCGGATTTGGCCAGACGCTTCAGACCCTCCACAAGCTTGGGCAGATCGGCGGGATTCTTGGGCTCCACAGCCACACGCACGACAGGCGAAACGGAGAACTTCATGACCTAAAATCGAAATAATTTTACAATTAGCAAGGTGAAAGCATATGAAGTTAAATAGAATATAAATGGCTGTTATTTACTTAGATTTTAGCTTATTAAGAAAACAAAGTAACATACCTTCATGTTGTGCGCATCCTTGAAGGTGGTAATGGTGCCAGTCTTAACCAGGAACTGATCGACACCGACAAGACCGCAGATGTTGCCAGAGGGCACATCCTCAATAGCCTCGACGTAACGGCCCATCATGAGAATGGTGCGCTGAATGGCCTTCTCGTACAGATCCTCCTTCTTGCCGGGTGTATAGTTGGGGCCCATGATGCGGCACTTCTGGCCAGTGGCCACTTTGCCGGAGAACACACGGCCGAAGGCGTAGAAACGACCCTTGTCGGAGGTCGGCACCATCTTAGAGATGTACATCATGAGGGGACCGTCGGGGTCGCAGTTCTTCACGGCGATAGCAGCCTCATCATCATGGGGACCCTCATACAACATCTCCATACGGTACTTCTGGGCAACAACCGGCGATGGCAGATGGATGGCAATCATCTGAAGCAGAGCCTCACCGGCTGGCAGCCAGGTGCGCATAACGGTCTTAAGCAGAGCCTTGCCGTCCTTGTCCTTGTCCTCGTGCTTAAGAGTGACTCCGATCTTCTCAAGCAACACACCAATCTCCTCCTTCTTGTAGTTCATGATGGCGTCGAACACCTTGTAGATGGGATCCAAAATGTACATACAGAAAGAACGCTTGTTATCGGCCTCCTTCTGCTTCTGCCACTTCTTGGTCTTGGCATTGAAGAAGTTCTCTCCCCACAGACTGTGAACGCATAAAATAAATTGGATTCATTGTTAGGACAAATCGTTTACCATTAATACATGCTAAGCTATTAATATAAACACAAAAACAAATCTCTCCAGGGAGAAAAAAACATAAATACATATGTATATTGTAAGATTTCTGCCTTAGCATGACTCGTTGGGACATTAAGAAAGAGGTCCCGAGGTAGCGTTTCAACAGGATTCTCAAAGTTATTCTGCTTCTATTTTTATAGCACTTGTGGCGCCATCACCATGCGCGACTCTACAGAAAATACCCCAAGGGACTCTCCAAGAAGCCACACGCTCAGCGTCACACGTTTTGTGCTAGAAGCGCGGAAAATGTTTTCCAATATGATTTACTCACCGGTTCATTAGCTTCACCACATCGATCTTGAACTTTTCAGAGTACATCTCAGAGAACTGCTTGAGGGTGAAGGCCCAGCCGTGCAGGCCGGAGCCGAAGCCCACGGATCCTCTGGAGGGGTCCACACGCACCTCACCCATCGGACCACCATCATCGTTGTAGGTGGCAATAATGACATTCACGTTCTCCACGATGCGCTGGAAGGTCTGGTACAGCTCCTCAGCATCCAACTGCAGCTCCAGTAGAGCACGGTCCATCTTGTTCATGAAAAGAATGGGCTTGATGCGCTCGGCAATAGCCTGACGCAACACGGTCTCAGTCTGCACGCACACGCCGGATACGCAATCCACGACGACCAGAGCACCGTCGGTCACACGAAGAGCGGCGGTCACTTCGGAGGAGAAGTCCACGTGACCGGGCGAGTCGATCAGGTTAATCAGGAAACCCTTGCACTCCTTCTCGCGCTGATCGGGCTGAGTGATGAACACCAGATCCTTGTCTTCCACCTCGAAGTACATGGAGATAGCGCTGCAAAAATTTGAGAATGTTTTATTTCTGTGCGCTCACTCAAAAGTAGGATTCTTACGTCGACTTGATGGTAATGCAGCGCTCCTGCTCATCCTTGCGGGTGTCAGTGAAACGGGTCTCACCGGCCTTCGCTCCGGCAATAATTCCGGCCTTGGACACGAGCGAATCGGTCAGGGTGGACTTGCCGTGGTCAACGTGAGCGATCACAGACATGTTGCGGATGTTCCGCTTCTTGTCCATGAGGCCACGGATTTCGTCGACGGTGAAGTTGACCTACAAAAATAATAGGACACATTATGTATCACAAATAAATACTTGCAGATGTAAATGTATATGGCTATTAAAAATGGCGTCTACACACAAACACACAGAAACACCAACTTTAAAATCGTGTCATGGACTTTGAGGTTAGATAAGAATAAAAAATCAAATGCGCCGCCTATATACTGCGAGATCATTTCGCTCATACCAAAACTCACACCCGCACCACAGCATTGAAATATATATTTAGACGGCTGACCCTCAAGCACTTAAAACTGTTACCCGGCCATGCCCAATCCTTGTGAAATTTCAATAGCAAACTGCATACGTCATTCTACACTTGTGCTATTTTCTTGCCTTTGTCTTGCATTTCACCACATACACATACACACATGCAGTCTTGCTCATACATATATACAGATGTAGATATCGGCCAGGTAACAGTTGTCACGTCTGCACTTTTCCACACCGTTTTTCAGTTATTTCCGCAGCTCGCACATTTTAAATCGCCACAAGGAACTTTAGACCGGGACTTTCCCCACCAATAAAGGCAATTATATCGGTTTAATAGCACCTACCATTTTGGATGTTTGGAGATTTTCTCGCGGACCAAAAAAACACTACACGCCTGAATTGGCGTTTCGACAGGAAAGAGCGTGCAACGGAACAGTGTGACCGCAGAACCGTGTGACCGCCGAACAGTGTAACCGTAGCGCACTATCGATACTATCGATGATTCCAAACATAGATTTTTCGCACCATCGATGTTTTTGTTTTATTTCTATTTTATTAATTTAATCGCTTAAAACCGAACTTTTTAATTTTTGTATTGTATTATTGTTTTGTACTGTTTAATATTAGGAACAAACAATTATAATAATAACAATTATAATAATAACAATTATAATAATATACGTTTAAATTAATTTTTTAATTCTTTAATCTTAGATATCGAATTTTTGTCAGCTCTACTTTCGGGCCAAATATTATGTGCGACGCAGTGTTTGCAGTTTAGCTTTCTTCTGGCTGGGATCTAGCATATTTGAAAATGGATAAGGTATTAAGCTTGAACTAGCTTATAGCCTTAAAAATAGTTAGTTTTTTCCTATTTATCTTGCATATTCTATTATACATTATGTATATATTATGAATTTAATATATCAGATTTATTATTTAATGAGTTTAAACGTTCAACGACAAAGAAACGTAAGCAGCTGATCAGAGATGAGACAGTAAGAGAGAAACATGGTTGCACAAATACATTTACTATTGAAATTGCTTTAAGAAAATATCTGTTTTGATTTTTGTTTGCAACTGGAACTTGTTATAAATCTGTTCGGGTGACACCACTTACCCTCATCAGCGATCTTTTCAATTTCAGTAAAAGGAAATGGGGTAGACCGGACAGTTTATTTGTTATGAGCAAAGAGCTTGTCTCTCAGTTTTAAAGCTATCTGAATTAAACTTTGCAGATTGTCTTCTATATACTCTCACTCGTATATATGTATGTCGGAACGTGCCGGATCGGACGACTATATCATATAGCTGCCATAGAAACAATCGGAAAATTTTTACAAAAAAAAAAAAACTTTTCTTGTTCTCAACAGATTTATGTGGAATTTGAAACATAGTGTTTTTGTATTAGTCTAGAATTTTGTTTTAAATTTTATATAGCTGCCATTGGAACGATTGTTGTTGGAACTCAATGGTTGCGTTCAGCAGAACAAAATAATCACTGATCAGTGATGGATTTTTATCACATATGATCACATAATCATGATCCAAGACTTCGTCCATCATGATCAGCAAAAGATTTAGCGTAGAAATAGTACGCTACCTTATTGCGATACTGATGGATTATAGCGATAAGAACAAAATAAAAATAGGCAGGTGAACAAGAGGAAATTAGCGACATCCTTAGTTACCTTTTAATAATTAGTTATTATTTAATATAATATTATGAGGTGTCTGGTCAAAAGCTATTGCTTGGACAATTTAAAGTTTAATAGTAATTTCATAATCAGTGATTTTATATTATATTATGAGGTTTCTTGTAAAAAACTAGCATCCCTAGGTGTTTTTTCAGGTTTTCTGGTTCAGTTGTCTATTTCAGTTATCTTATAAGAAAATCAAATCATGAGCGTTCAGCAGATTACACTTGATCACTGATTACTGATCCATCATGTTGCATGTTGGTTTTGAAAACCCCCAGATATACCCGGCAAAAAGCAAAATTTGCACCGCTGTTCTACAGCCGTTTCTACATGTTTTTGAGAATTAAACATCGATATTATCGTTGCTTATGCCATGTACATATGTAATACATTGTAAATTAATATTATTATTATTTATGTTAATTTAATAATGTAATGAGTTTGTTTAACTAATTAAAGTTAAACATGAATTGAAACATATAAAAAAATACATTTCATAGGGTTTTTTTATTCCTATCTTAATATTAAAGAATACATAAACTAAATAAAACATAAAAAATCATACATTATTATTATTACTAACGTTTGAAACAAAAAAAAAAAAAAATATTTCGTTATCTTAATATTAAAGAGTACAAAGCGAAATGAAGTTATTGAAAATATAGTACTTTTAAATATCGTTGGTGATGTTTTGTCAGCACAACTACGGAGATTCCCTTCTTTGCTCTCTTTTGCTCTTTTGCAAAGTTAAGACACAGAGCAGAACAGTATGACTGTGACACATTCTTTTCCGCGAAAACATACTGAAATGTTTTTAAAAATACTATAAATATACAATGGCATCAGCATTTGTACGATTCCACTACTGTTGCATTATAACAAGTTTTGCACTTATTTAGAACGACGGAAAACAGTACTTGTACTTACATAAAATAAAGTCCCTTGCAATATTTTGAAAAAATTGCTATATATTTCACGACAAAGAACTTAATTAATTTCAGCTTTTCGACGAATCCAGAACATCGTCAGCCTTTCGACGAATCCAAAACATTCTCAAGCTTTTCAAGTTGCACTTTGGTGCACACCATTATTTCATTGAGTGAAAATAATACCCTCAATCTCAATACCCATTATTTTCAGGTAACAAGGGGTACGAAGAGCAGGCCTTTTGACCTCACGACGACGGAGGAATTTCATCGGTCCAAGGACATAATAAAAACTAAATTAATTAATTCACTATAGAGCCGAAGGCAAATATAAGAATACCGAATAACGTCCATAACAGGATATTTGCGTAGTTTTTAGTTACATTTTTAATTTTAATCTTAGTAATAGGCTTAAATGTGAACAAAATATAAAATTAGTATTGAATTATTTAATAATGTTTAAACTAAGTATGTAGATGTATGACATTATATAATATGTAATTAAAATTGTGTAGAAATTAACATTTATTGTTACTAGCGTAATTTATATAAATAATTACTATAACCTTCTTTTTTTATTTATATATTTACATATACATATGTACTTGGATGCTTCAACTGCAATCGTATATTAAAATTTTATTTCATTAGACTTTATAAAGAAGTATTATTTATTATTATATGTATATGGTATTAGACCCTAATTCGATGAACGGAGATTGTGTATGACTCACTACAGGGATTAAGATTTTAAAAAATATTTAGCTTAGATTTTTCCGCGTGTGTGTAAGCATGTGTCTATTAACACTACACTTCTGAGAAAACGTCATCGAACAGTGGGGACACTTATGCGGTCGCTCTCCCGTATGAGTTAGAATGTGTCTTTGAAGACCACTATTTGAGGAAAACGACTTCGAGCAGTGGGAGCACCTGTACGGTCTCTCCCCCGTGTGAGTTCTGATATGTAACTGAAGTTGGACTTTCATTTTAAATGATTTCGGGCAGTGGGAGCAAGTGTGCGGGCGCTCTCCCGTATGAGTTTGGATGTGCGGCTTAAGACTAGCGCTCTGGGTAAACGACTGTGGACATTGTGGACACTTATACGGTTTTTCTCCCGTGTGAGTCCGGTTGTGAATCTGAAAACTTGCTCTATACGAGAAGGACATCGAGCACTGGGAACACTTATACGGTCGCTCTCCAGTGTGTTTTCGCACATGTTCCTGAAGATGCCACTTCTTCGGAAACGTTTTTTGGCAGTGGAAACACTTATGGGGTTTCTTAATCTCACGAGTAAAAACGCCTTTCTGAAGATTGGCGTTTAGGACTTTATCATTCTTGAGAAACATTTGGTTTTGGTAGTTCCTCTCTAAGGTTTGCCGTATCTCAAAGGCGCTTTGTGCACATTGGAGGCAAATTTCACAAATGGTGTTGGGGTAGGGGTCCCCTTTACAAATTTCATATTGAGTGCATTGAGAAATCATATCGGCAATGGAGATCTCTAGTCGAGGTGCCTTGTCAAATATATTGATCATGCTCAATGAAGTTCCAAGACAAGCGCGACAGATTGGCCTGCGAGAGGAAAATGTTGTATTTTTATACACATGTATATTATGTACTTACACTTCCATGGTTTATACTCCTGTGGCGCTGTTGTGTGTATATGTTAAACACTATTGCCCAAGCAAGAATAGCCAGTCCGTCGTCAGCACTTTCCTTCCACCAGGTGTTTCAACAAGTAATTTGTGCGCCAACATTGTTTAGGTTTCGTATTAGAGATGGAAGTAATTTTGATCTTCACCATTACTGGAGATGGGACAACATAGATGTATCGTTATATTAATGGTTGCGATCAGCAGAACAACACGATCACTGATCACGGATGATTTTCGCGATAGTTCTGCTAAACGGTTGTGATCACTGATCATGATGCAAGAATATTTCTTTTTCCATCATGATCAGCAAAGAAGTATGTTGTTTATAAATGCAGTGGACTGTATTGTTTTTGTCTTAGGTGTTTTATGTTTATTAAATAATGTAGCGTTCTAGAATAAGTTTATAAGCGGGTGCGAAAAGCGAGCGGTTGCGGGTAAATTTGAACTAGATCTAACTGCCGAAAAAACATAGAAACGTGCAGCATAAAAATAATGATCGCGTGATGTGCCAATACTCATGCACATATACTGCATTTGGCTATGAGTGAGAGCTTAAAGCTTTATGTTGTAAACACGACAATTATGTTCATTAAAATAGGAACGATAATATGCAAAATATGAACAAGTAAAGAAGTAATAATTATAATCTTAATATTCAATTAACGACCGATTAATTCCTCAACATAGGTTAATAAATAATAGTTTAAAAAATCTAAAGAAAACACGTTTTTATAAATAACCGAACTAAAAAGAAGAAAATAATTTATAAATTCAAACAAAATTATTAAAATCAGAGCAATAGTATAAGTTATAAAAAAGATCACTAAATTCAGAGTTAAAAGCGTGGGGTGCATCTATCATCAATGTTTCTAGTATTCAAAGGGCAACTATATGTAAGGGGAGAATTATGAAAATATATTATCAGTTATTTTTCGTATTTTAGTTCGATTTATCAATAATCAATTTTTGCGGACATGTAATTATGAAATATATTACGAACCATATCGTAATCTCATTATTTTTTTTATTTAAGGCCTCTTTGTTGCATGGGGTTTTTCCTGTTAACTTTGAGCAATTAAGTTCTTTAATGCGAATACCTAAGGCTACACGACTAAGTGCTACATAAGCTTGCCCAGCAGGAATGCGCAGATCGCTAGTTCTGTCTCTCTTACTCCTTTACGGAGGATCTATAAAAGAATTAATAAAGCCTGACGATCCTAATCAGGATAATGAAAATTTTGTATCAAATTATTGAATTTTCATTTTCGGCCCTTGAAAAGTATGCAGAGTTTCAAGTTTATCAGATATTTTGAAACCCTTGAAAATAGTGTTCAAAGATTCCGTTACATACATAAATACATCCCGAACTAATAAAAGCGTATTAAAAAAGTACGCTAGCGCTACCGCTTGCGCTTATCGATGGTTTAAGTATCGATAAGAATAAGCAAAAAAGGAAGATGTAATGGCGCTAAGACACAGTAATGTAGTTTTCATTAGTCAGCCAGTTCACACCGATTTACAATATACAATAATTAGGGATGCAATTCAAAAAATAGAAATATGTATTTCCGTATAAGGCAGTCTCTAATTCATGTGGCAGTGTCAGAGTAGTTTAACCAAAGGAAATATAAATTAATAGACATGAAATAAGTGTCATCTTTAGTAATTCCTTAATAATTATTTAATAGAGGAGTTCCTAAACAGCTGTTCCCATACATACTAAAGTCGTTCAGCGACTCCAGAGGTCGCTGAAAATATTCACTGAATTACTGAATGCCAGGGTTAGAGGAAAATCATTTCAGAGTTTCCACCTCCTCGCCATCAAATTCATTTTAATATTAAAACAGCCTAAACATGTTGGTGACTAATTCCGCAGAAGCCGCTGGTTGTATTCAGCAGAGCAACATGATCACCGATCGGTTATAGATCAGTAGTCTGTGATCAGCAGAACAACATGATCACCGATCAGTGATGGATCAGTAATCTGTGATCAAGGGTGTTCTGCTAAACGCTCATGATACATTACGCGGTAAATTGATTTTGTTATAACATAACTAAAATGGAAAAATGTACTTATGTTTGAAAAACAGCTCGAGACATATTAAAATATTATTATTATTATATAATTACAGCACTGCACACGGCATTTGTGGCAACATAACACTTAATAATAAATAAATAAATATTTAACAAACAATAACTAATAATTAAAGAATAAGTAAGGATGCGCATATTGCATGACTAATAATATTTTCTCTTGTTTGCATACCTATTTTTTGTTTTATCCTGATTGATTTTTTAACCATTGATATAATACATCGGTATTTCTAAAAGGTACTATTTGTACGGTACTTTTTTTGATGATCATGATGGATGAAATCTTTCAACATGATGGATTAAATCTTTCATCATGATCAGTGATCAAACGCGATCAGCAGAAATCCATCATTGATAGGTGACCAGCTTTGTTTATGTTTTGGATGATCTGTTTGATCACATGTTAACGGATGGTGGATGAAGATGTGGATCTTTGGGTAACGGAGATTTACATATACGAAAAATGCCAATTTTTTCGCTCGGAGGGACTGTATGGGAAGACTGTATAAAACAGATCGAACTGCTGTGGCTCATCCAAAATATAAAGTATAAAAAAATAATAAAAAAACAATAAGCACTTATTATTTCAGAATGTTGGTTTAAATTGTATGCAAATCGGAAGATTATATAATATAGCTGACATAGAACTGATTGTTAAATGAAGAGTGAAATGAAAAACTGCAAATGTAAAATCGTAATTATAAAATGTGTAGATAAATCTTAAAGTATTTTGTTAAAATATTACATGTTTTGCTAGTTATAGATGTATTATATAATTTATGCTAGTTTTTATTTAATTTAATCAAATTGGATAAATTCCTTATATTCCAATTAAAAAATGCAAAGGTATATAAATTTCTGCGGTCCGAAGATAGCTTTCTTTCTTGTTATTCATAAAAATAAATCTAATTGGGCAACGAATTTAAACTATGCTGATAGAATAGCTAAATTAAATAGTAATATGTTACATAAATCACCGAAAACCGATTAGGGGGTGTGATCGTACAGCTTTAGACGTTGCTAAGACAATATTGTGCAAAAGTATAAGTTCGTCAGTTGCATGGAAGTATCATTTTTTAACAATTTCATCGTCGAAACGACGAAGCCTGTCTTTAGAGTGACTTTTTGGTAGTGTTGTTCTTCTGAATCTTGGTCTACATTATGAGTTAATACTTGATTGAGATTTCAAACCTTTTTAAAGAAGGCAAGTCTGATGTGTATATTGAAGATTCTGGTAAAGATTGTCAAATTCTGGGCTAACTAGTTAAGAAACCAACTCCTTGAGAAGACTCTTAGGACGACGAAATGAATACAGTAATGACTTGACTTTATTGTTTTTCTTTAGCCACACAAAGTTATTTTCTTTTTGTCGCCATGTAATGAAAATGGAACTATAAACAACGAGACTTAAAAGCCTCACATTATCGAATTCTAAAATCCCACTAAGATGGGCGTCGAAACTTTTTTAAAAATGTGTAGCGTCAAAAGCTGTGCTCGAAAAACCGATGGCCAATGGCCACAGTTTTTATACCCTTGCAGGGTATTATAATTTCAGTCAGAAGTTTGCAACGCAGTGAAGGATGCACCTCCGACTATATAAAGAATATATATTCTTGATCAGGATCAACAGCCGAGTCGATCTAGCCATGTCCGTCTGTCCGGCTGTCCGTCTGTCCTTCTGTCCGTCTGTCCGTTTCTACGCAAACTAGTCTCTCAGTTTTGAAGCTATCTGAATGAAACTTTGTAGCCTTCTATATACTCTCACTCGTATGTATGTCAGAACGGGCCGGATTGGACGACTATATCATATAGCTGCCATAGGAATGATCGGAAAATTTTTACAAAAAAAATTTTTAACTTTTTCAGTTTTCAATAGAATTGGATCAAATTTGAGATATAGCCATTTAACCATACTCTACAATTTGGCATAAAATTTTATGAAAATCAGACTACTAAATCATATAGCTCCCATAGGAACGATCGAGAAATTAATACAATTAAATTTATAACTTTTTCAGTTTTCAGCTGATTTTCATCAAATTTGAAGTATGGCCATTTTATTTTAGTCTTACACTTTGTGTCAAATTTCATGAAAAGCGGACGACTATATCATATAGGTGCCATACAAACGATCGTTTGATGAAAAACTGCAAATATAATATGTATAGGTGAATGAAATGAAAGCAGGTATTACTTCATTGGTTTTTAACACAAATATATATAATTTATATTGTATGGATTCCTATTCATAGAAGTTCTATCTGCAAGGGTATATAAACTTCGGCGTGCCGAAGTTAGCTTCCTTTCTTATTGAATGTTTAATATGGCTTTTATAAAAGTTCACGTGGTTTATTTATATAATATTTTAGATTCCCGAAAAAACCCCTAAGTATTCGAAATTTTATGAAAAATCTTACACCCTGACGTCATTCGAAAGAATTTAGTAAATACGTTAAGCCTAGTTATACTGCCCACTTAAACACGGTCAAATGTCTCAAGGGTGTTAATTACTAAAAATATTTAAATAATGATAAAAAAAAAAACCAAACCAAATGTAATGCCAAAAGGAAGATCTGTGCTTTTTATCACTCGTCAAAGCGACATATGATCAAAACACTATGTGTAAAAAGCCAAAAAAGACTTTGTGCAGAACACTAAATAGATCTTTGTGCCTCTTGCTTAAAAGATTAATTCGATAAACTTAAATTAACTTTTTTGTTAGTTTAAAGTCTTAATATTTTAATGCGACTGAACTAAAGCAACTTTATGTGTTTTTTGTTTCCTAATTTGGTCAGAGAAATAGGGTCCATTTAAAAAAAAAAAGAAAAAAGTTAGTTATTATTTTTTAGTTTTTAAGTACATTATCAATGTGAAACTAAGATATAAATTTTTAATTTGAGTTCTTAATAATAAACACTGTCAAAAAAACATTTACAATTTGTCTTATATTTTAATAATTACACTAATTTTAAAATGGGCGTAGTTGATTCGACGAAGCATGACCTTAACGTAATAAAAAAGGACCATCTAGGGTTAAGACCGTTGAGAAAACTAAGATTGTTTTTTATTGTTAAAGACAAATTTTAACTTTTTAAATCGAACAAAAATGTATGCCAATATTTGATTCTGAAATTTAAGTATTAGTATTTTATGTTTTTATGTATTTTTTAGATTTTATGAAAGAAATGTATAGGAACAAATGTTGGCAACTTATGTTGGGCAAGTTTTAAGCATCAAAAGTGCCGCGACCCACAAAATTTTCAAAATTTTCCCCTTTGAACACAACCTTTTCATTTGCCGGGGACTTTTGGGTTAGGTCGAACGAACATCAAATGTTGCGCCCCTTGGTATTACAAGCCCCTCCGATTTGCAGTTTTCACTCAAACGGAAAATTTATCCGGCCTATTGAAATTTAGTCTGATATTTTCCCCGTTTTGCCAACATAACAAGACGAACCCACTCAGACCGATTCGTAAGTCAACATCGAGCCTTTTGTGTGGTCGGATGGAGAATTGGTTCAGTTGGAGGGAGAATACTCTCGAACATGTTGCATCAACCGCGTCTTACCTCCCTTTTATTCATCATAGAAAATACAAACTATGTAAGGCAATTTTGATATAAAAAACGAAATTAAATTAATCTAACAAATTTTAGGAATTTATCGAAATTTAAAAACTTAGAATATTAGATTTTAAAATTGAATTTATAGCAACACAATAGAAAAGATTAAAAAATATAATGACCGTATTTTTGTATGGCTGATTTTTGGGTTCGATGATAAACTAATTTTTAAGACAAGTTTCATTTATATGTTTGATTATCGGTGTTGGATGTTCAATGTTGGACTGTTCGATGTTCGCTCCACTCAAAAAGTTGCCAGCTCCGAAATGACCGGCGCGCTTAAGCTCAAAAATGTTCCAGTTCAAAATTTCACTCAACAAATGGCGGTTGTGCCGCGGAAAAAGTCGTAATTTCCAAGGAGAAGATAATCTGTCGCGTCGGTTGTGAGTTCTACTAGCATCCGAAAAAAAATAAAAACATTTCTTTTTTCTTACTGAAAGTTTTTAAAATTTAGTTGGTTTATTTATGTAAGAAAAGTAATTAGGAAATGACTTTTCTATCATGTTCCATGTTCTGCTGTCCAATCAGTATAGTTTATGTAGAAACTTTTTAATTAATCTTACCTTTTCTGTAATTTTCTGACAAAGTTAATACCAGTATTCAAAAACAATTACATAAAAAAAAATTTATTTTTACAAGCAGATTTGAAAAACAACTGTTTCTATTGCCAAATTCAAAATTATAGTTAACTCCAAATTTTTGTAAATTCATAATATATTTCGTTATTTTAGCTTTTTTCAAATGCTAGTATGACATAAAATTTATACGACGATTCCTTGTCTTAACGGTAAATAAATATCCAAGTGGACCTAGTTTTCCACGAAAATTGTGTATCAGTGTGAATGGTTTTAGTGCAAACCGAAAAAATAAACAAATTAAATTTAAAATATATAAATTGTTTGTGGCCCTAAGATGTGAATTTTTCCATTAAAATGGTTTTCCGCAGGCAACATGTTTTTTACACATAAATGAAAGTCAGTTTTAAAACTAATCACGCTAATTTTCATTAAATTAAAAATTATATGATTTTGGGAATGAATCCTTTGAATTCAGCTCTGAACTCTGTAAATTATTAATTAATTAATCACCGTCTTAGGCAATTTGGACACACCACTTAAATTAGTGTTCAGATGAAACAAAACAAATAAATTTAGTAAATATTTATTATCTATTGTATTAGCTAACAAAATGAAGAACATTCATCCATAAAAGCCTCGGAAAAGGCTCAAAAGCTGAAGTGACGATGGAAATTAAGCGCGCGACTTTTGGCCGACTTTCCCTTTGATCTTAAAGGCATAGCGACAATAAATATAAATAATTATAGTAAATACATCATAAAAAAGAAAAGGAAAGGAAAGGATAACTTTTTCGCGTTCCGCGCTTCCTATAAGAAAATCCTTTTTACGCGTTCAGCCTCCTAACCAAAGAAAAAGGAACAGCAGCAGAACTTTTCACGTCGTGGAAGTTTCTTGTGTTTTTTACTGCTGCAGGGAGGCAAACAAAGTCAAAGTTACAGAGAAAGTTGTTGTGCAACGTGTGGCAAGTGCGGCTAAAAAAAATTGTATGCAGCAGAGAGTTTAACTCGATTTTAGTGTCCAACAATCAGTACAGCAAAATTGTGGAAAAGGCTGCGGAATTGCTAAAGTGGATTAGCGCCGGCATTCAATTCCTTCAACTCCTTTTTGTCGTAAGTCTCAAATTTATTAACCCTAGTTTCTCTTCTACATACATTCTCCTTGCTTTAATCTTTATTAATTTCATATATTCTCAGCAGCTCTTATAATTTGTATCAAATATTTGTAAAGGCTTAAAGGCAACTGTTTTATTTGCATTTAAATACAAGCACGTAGCTAATTACTGTTAAATATTATTGAATACTAGTCTCATAGTTTTTATGAATTGTAACATTTCGACGAAACCAATCTGCAGTTTCATCCATTCTGACGAGAAAGAAATCAGCTTGGCCCCAATAAGTTGTTCATAAATACGACAGTCCCAATCTAAATCGCCGTAAAGTACCCAAACACACACACAGGAGGGCTTAAAAAGCCTACTAATCTGAGGCAAGCCCACTCTCGTATTTGAATGTGTGCTGAACATATATGTTGAGAGTTCTTTCATAAGCAGCAAATGCCTAAAAAGAATCCAGACAGACTGACTGACACACAATGGGAATAATAGCGGAGATGTCGACGTACCTTCTAAGTAAATTATAAAGCATTCAGAATAAATGCTAAAAAAATTCGACTGTGCCATTAAAGAATGCAAAAAATCGACGACAGTGGAGGGAATCAACCAGACAAGCTGGAGGGCCTTTCCAGGGGCGCTGGGGGGAATCCCAGGGTACAAAAGGAAATTCAGACAATGAGCAGAGTGTCTGGGATTGTGTGAGCGAGTGTGTATGCCTCTTCAAGTGCTGTCTGCCGCACACACATAAATGATCCTTTTACCACTTTTGCAACTGTCTTTTCATTGTTTTATCTTTCCCCTTCTAACTTTTTCCATAACTTGTCCCCTGTTTATTTTCAAGGCTTCCTTTGGTCACGATTTTCTATCGATGACATAAATAAGATTCGGAATTAAACAGAGCTCGCATTGCGAAATAAGGTTTTGATCTTTGAAATGGCGCCTTTTTTTCAAAGTTATAGTATAAAATGTTTCTTATAAGTGCCAAAAAATCGGATTACATCTGTTCAATAATAGAAAGTATTTTGAAATACTATATATTGTTATTATTCTGTAAGTTTTCTAACGATTCGGAAACTTCTTATAAAATACGTACTTTGTCCAAAGTACCTACAAATATTGTCAAAATAATAGTTAAGTAATGAAGAGATAAGTAAAAATAATAGATTTACATCCCTACATTCTCTTCCGGTGGTGGGGTTCTTCAATTAACCTAATGTAAATTGATGATAGTGATATTTAACTTTCAAAATAGTTTGTATCAGAAATTGATGAAAAACACAAATACCATATTTCGTGAACATAAAACTCTTTAATGGAGTCTAATAATAAATTGAAATTAAACTTCAGATATCCAAGTAAGTAGTGGTTGGGTGCTTCAAGGGGATGGGGCAAAATAAAACTGAGTTTTCAGTTAGTAAAAAGGTCGACTCTAGCTATCAACTCCCAGCAAACCACCGAATTATGAACTGCAACTAACTTCTTTTCACAAGTTACTCACTTAAAATCTGCCACGAATTCAAAGATCAGACTCTTGGACCGGCAGACATGTAAACCATTCTCAAGTGCCCGACGGCTTGGTTTAAAAACGTAAACGATGAAGTTTTGCGAAAGTTATTTGCAGGGTATCACAGGTTATACCAATTGCTGACAGCTAAGTATTTATTAAGTGAAATATGTTCTTCCTCCATTTACTTTGTCCCGACGATCGACGATCTAGAAATAGGTCTTTGAATCGTTTTAATGTATCTATAAAATATAGGTGTAAGGCATTTTCATTGTTTAGGGCTCCATTCTTACCAGAAAAACTTCTGTCATCTAGTAGTATTTTTGAAACAAATTTCAATTAGTTTATACTAGTCTTATACTAAAGTTTTAAAAAAGCGTTGTTAATTTTATTGGCAACTATATTCTATAAAAATGGAGCTTCTTTTACCACGATATCCCGGGTAGTTTTCTATTTAGTTCGAAATAGAAAAAATACTTTTGAATTCCTTTTTTCAATAGGCCAAAATGAGACAATAATGCATTACTTTTGATTCTTTATTATTTAATTAATATATTAACAACGATTCTTCCATTTATTGGTGTTTATTCTGAATTAAAACATAGTTAGACAATATAAACGGCAGTGTACAAGTATTTTAACATTTAGTTTATATTTCAAGTTAACAATAACTGGGCTTCTTGAAAAGACATCGTTTATTTATTGACTTTTAAGGAATATATAACAATATTGGCGGTGAGTTAAATTGTTATTCAAATATTAAGCAATATACTTTATTTTTAATTTTACTTTATATACTTACATTAAACTTAATTAATTATAGTGATTTGATCTGTTTAAGATATCGAATTCGTGAGTCGAGTTTACCACCCATTTTTCACAGGATTATATAGTGTCTTCGATATATATCGGTTTATTTATTTATATTTATTTATTTATATCGGTTTATATATGATTTTAGTTATTATCTCTGTATCATTAAAATTATTTATTTTGTGTACATTTAAATTATCTAAGTGTTGTTGGCAAAGTACTAAAATAAAAAAGTAATAAATAAAATTGATTGAAATCGAAACATGTTGGGATGCTTGGAGATATGAAGTCTAAGAAACGCTTTGATAACACCTTCTTCCCACTACAACCATTCCCGTTTCCATTCCCACTACAACCATTCCCGTTCCGATTCCCATTCCCATTCCAATCTCCATTCAGTTTCGAATCAGTTCCCGTCACCCCCGCTGCCACATTGATGCCGTTTGACATGAGCGACGACTTTGGACGGAACTGTCGGCACTATTTGAAACGTATTGCTCGTTCGCCTGTCAACGCAACATCGTCAAGTCGAGAAGGTGAAGTGTGAACGGGAGAGGAGGTGGAATCGGTGCCGGAGGAGGGATTAAAGGCCGCACGGGACTAGGAAGGCATGAGACCCACGATTTTCTGCTATTTTCATATTTGGAAGACTGCAAATTCGATTCGACAACCAGATTTCCACTGCTCTCAATTTCCATTTCCTTTGCTACTCGCTAACTGGGTGCATGCTGGGTCCCTTTGCCACCTCCACGGATAAGTAGATGCGTCTACCTGGGCGTGGCACCTTCTGCTCTGGAAACTTAATGATGAGGGACAAACGCAGTTGACCTGCCCATTTGCGATATACGTACATATGTATGTCAGGCGCTTTTAGTCTCAGTTAAGGGTTATATCTGAACGATCTTCTTACTTTTACTTACTTTTACATTTTTTAGTCATGACTCCCATATACATATATGTATAACAAAATATACACATAATTACAGAACATATGTATGCATTTTGAAATTTAATGAATTCTGCATCTAAAACATGATAAGACAAAATTTTAAGTTAAATTTAATGTAACCGACATTAACAGTTTTTAAAAGTTGTTCGTAAATTAAAAGAAGAAACTTCAGCATATTTACTCTCAAAATATTTAATATATACTTAATTTACTAATACTTAAATTATTAAATTGGTAAATTAAAGGGATCTAAACCACTACCTCTTTCGATTGCAAGATAATTGAAAGATAGATTCTGAATAATTTTTAAGGAGATCGTATAAGTTTTTAAATCAAATGTAGTTTTAAGTGGCATTAGCAAGTGATAGCGGTAGTGTTGATTTTAATTTTAAAAGCTTGATTATGGCTTGCTAAAGACTAGACATATTTTCCAATTTATCTTAGTTTTAATGACGTAACTGATAGATTACCGATGTCGAAATGAAAAATGGTTACCGAAATGTCAAAATTAATAACCCCTGATGGTCGTTTAATTAGCCGACATCGTCCCAGACTTGCCGATGATTTTAACAACTTTACATCATCAAAAATGTGAAAACAAGTTATCTTATCGGGTAAAATTATTTAAAACAAGAAAGGAAGCTAACTTCGGCACGCCGAAGTTTATATACCCTTGCAGATAGAATCAATACAATATAAAATATATATATTTATGTTAAAAAACAATGAACAACAATAAACAATAAACAACTTGCTTTCATTGCATTCCCCTATATATGTATATATATATATACATATATTATATTTAAAGTTTTACATTTACAGATTTGCATTTTTTCTCTATATCTATCTTGTAGAATAATAAAACGTGGCTATATCTCAAATTTGATGAAAATCTGTTGAAAACTGAAAAAGTTATAATTTTTAATTGTATTAATTTCTCGATCGTTCCCATGGGAGCTATATGATATAGTCGTCCCATCCAGCCCGTTCCGACATATATACGTGTGAGACTATATAGAAGTGTTATCTGTGGATAAAGCAAACTATTTGAAGACAAAAATTAAATTCTGTTTTTTGGAAACTATAATTTGGGACACGCCCAAATGTTAGAACACACTTGAATAAAATGAAAAAAATGCTATGATTACGATGTGTGATATGATACGTTGGGCACTTCTTGTATTTATTATATTATTAAGTACTTTAATTCCATAATCCAATTTTTTATCCCAAATTTCAATCCCTAAGCTTTATTTCTAAATGTCGCCTAAACAATTGTTGATTCCTTAGGTGCCTGGAGCTTCTTAGAGCATTTGCCATCTCGAATCTCAATCTGATCCATTTTAGTTATTATGAAGCTAGCGGGATCCTCGGTGAGGCATTCTATATTGGATAGGTTGCTGGAATCTACGCCACCAAAAAGTCGACTGAGAAATCCATGCTTTTTGGCAGATGAAGAGGACGAGGATAGTTGGGTGGCAATGTCGTTGGAACCGTTTTCATTTTTCCTGTTTTTCGACTTTTTTGCCGATCTGGATCGGAAGGTGGCAAGTCTTCGGAAGAAGCCAACACTTGGTTCCTCCTCTTTCTCAATGAGTACTTCCTTCTTGACAACTGCCTTCTCTTGCTGTTGTTCCTTTTCCTTTTCCTTAGTTTCCTCTTGCGGCTTGGCCAATTCCTCCTTCGAAGGAACTGTTTTCAGTTGATTGTTGTCCTTAGTCTGTTTGGAACGCGATTCCTTATTATGTTGTAAGCTGGAGATGCTACGGTTCCTATTTAAGCAGTAATCCGCCGAAGACTTTTGTACAAATAATGAACGGCCACCGGCAATGGACCGACCTTGTTCTGCTGAAGATTGACCCTGATCCTTACTGGCTGGACGACTCCGTGCCTTGGTTGTGGGCTTTATTGGAAAGGAAAAATTTAATTGAATACAAAATAAAGATCCTGGTGGTTTGTAAATTAACCAGATAGACACATCAACATGAGCTGCCTTTATATTGCACTTACCTGTTTGTGAGCTCCATTTGGATGCTGATTTATCGATGGGGATATGATTCCCGGGATTGGTGATTTGGGATAAAAAACTTTTGGGCTGTTCACATAAGGCATACCATACCAAATTTGATTGTTTTGAAGGTGATATTGTTGGTGTAGATGATCTTGTTGCGGGTACCAGGACGTGGGGTTACACATTACCTCCATTATGGGCTGTGTCTGCCCTCCGTAAAAATATTGCTGTTGAAGATATGGATTCGGCTGTACACGTTGCTGATGTTCTATGGGAATCCCCTGACCCATAAAGGGTTTCGCTGGTATCAATGACATTGGTGGGAATCGCTGTTGCTGCTGCTGAGGCGGCGGCTGCTGATGCTGCTGAAGTTGATGCTGCTGGTGATGCTGCTGCTGCTGCTGCTGTTGAAGCTGTTGCGGGTGTTGAAGCTGAAGCTGTGGATGCTGAAGGTGAGGATGCTGAAGCTGCGGATGCTGAAGCTGCGGATGCTGAAGCTGCGGGTGATGAAGCTGCGGATGCTGAAGTGGCCGAGCCATCGTTGAAGATTCGAACAACTTCACCTAGGACACCTCACGTATGGGGTTATCTTTTGTCTAAAAAGAAGTGATTTTAAGTGCGGGATCACCATCTACTAAAATTCTTGACACTTACTCTAAAATTTAGCGTTGGAATCAGCTCGTCCTGCCCTCGGCCGAATTTTAGGAGACTTAAAAATGAACTTTCTTCTAAGTACAGGTGTCCTTGCTAATACATAAAGAATGGAAGATGAGACCTCTGTCCATAGGGTCGCCTCGGCTTGACCCAGTTGCTCTCATTTCATAAGAGGTCAGAACGATGAAGGGGAAAATGTTTAGAAATGAATGTGTAATGAATGTTGCCCAACTGAACTTGGATTTAGTATGGAGCCATCAGTTTTAATCAGCAGACGTATTTTAAAAAGGCTCCCCCGATTATAACGTTAATACTATTAGTTTTATAAGTGATTATTTTTTTGGTATTTGTGTTTTAATTAGCCAAGCCTTTTAATGAAGGTTTCAGCTAGACCTGAAAAAAAGCTTTACCATATTAGTTATGAAAGGACGACTAGAAAAGTACACGTTATTAAATATTAATTGTTAAATTGGAAGGACACAATCACATTTTGTACTTTGATATATCCGTGTTTATTTGTGCGTTAATCAACCAAATTAATGGTTGTGTAACATAAGTACTGGCAGGAATAAAAAATTAGCATTGAAACAAAACCGCAATTAGTATACTATAGTAATTAAATACTTTTAAACAATAATGAGTCTAATTTTCGAAGGATCGATCGATCTGTGTCCCCCTCTTATCCAAAGGTCTTCTGGGTGTTTCCTCTACAGTCTTTGTATTATTCTTCGGTTTGTCAAGGCCACTTGACTTGTTATGACTTGAAGGTCGATTGATTTGCTGCCTCTTATGGGGTATATGAAAATCATTACTATTCCGAATCATACGAATTCCATACAAACCAAGGCGCATTGGTGTTTCGCATAACAATTAAATAACACAAAATTGTACCAGGTAAATATACATTTTAAAGTTCGGTAAAATACATTTCGTTTGTTTATTTACTCCGTTTATTTACATTTATTAAAGGGAGTTTCATGACGGTTTTTAATATTACATTTTTTTGGGTGCGACTTATTTCCTTTTCTTTCTTTACTTCCTTTCGTTGATCGAAAGATTTTTGTAATAAGATTTGTTCTTTTCCAACATATTTTCATCGACTTCGAGAAATTTCAATTTTGAATCACTTTAAATTTACAACATTTTTTCACAAGGTCTTGAGAACAAGAACAGAGACAATCAATACTGTAAAATAAATATAGAACTATGTTTCTGAAAGATAAAGCCCCGGCTAAAAAAATTGCAAAAATATTTCGTCGATCCAAGTGCTGGACTTTGGAAATACTCGCTTGAAATATTGACAGTAAAACAAAGAATCAATCAGGGGATTCCCTAATCTACTGAATTACTTAAAATAGAGCCGGATAGGGAACTGAAAAAATCATCAAATGGGATATGCCGATATTGTCATTCATTCGCATAGGGCATCCCCTGAATGTTAGTTTCAAATTGTAATGATATACCTTTTATCGTTCTTATATTAATTTACTCTGGCAGTTCAATTTTTTTATTGTAATCCAATCAGAGTACCTCTGTACAGATATACATATATATTTACCTCAGTAATCGCCGTCAGTTATGCAATATGGCGTAACTATTTACATTGGATGACCGATGGTCCGAGAGCTCTTTGTCCTTTCTTTCCGAACGATTCTCCTCAGTTGCATAAAAAACCTGATTCATTTTTTGTGTATCTCCTCCCCCTCCGTTCACCATCTGTCTTCCTGTCTGCTAATTAAAAGTTCAATGCGCAGCATTCCCCACACAGAACGACAAGGCGAAACAACAACAATGACAGCAACGGGTATTGACAATGACAGCGGAACAGAATGCGGAAACGCGAAGGGTTCGGAGATTCGGAGATTCGGAACGGGAACTGCGAGGGAGGATGGTGGATATAAAGAGCATACATAGTTAATTTATTTTTCAAGTATTCCGTTTCTATGCACTTTTATTTTAGTGACGACGGGGCTTTTGCTTTTCTTTTGTTGTTTCACCCAATTAAGTTTTTAATTCTTCAATCAATTGAACATCAAATATGCTAATTTAGCAAAAGCCCAACAACCAGAAAAAAAGCCATACTTAAAGTATCTTGGATGTGGGTATTTACAATAGGTAGGTTGACTGTAACAATCTCGATTTTGAACAGATACCTTATAGGTATTATTTTTATTGATTGATTACATGTCCCAACTCCAGAATTTAATAATTAATTTGAATAATTTGAATGTAAATGATTTGGAGAGTATTGTCCTTTGAACTGTTATCTTAAGCATTGCTTTTCGCCTTGCTTTTGCATAGATAAATCTACGTGGTAAAGAAGAAAATTTCAGGAAAATTGGTTAATTGCAACAAGAATAACTACTAAAACGAGTTTGACGTTAAAATAGGACGATGTGTAAATACTTTTAAGTAAGATTTAAGAGAATTTAAGATATTTGCGGTATTTTAAATCGATTGCCTTTGGTTCTCCAATTTTATGTAAAGGTGTTTTAATTTTATTAAATGATTTAATTTAAAAAATATTGCCATATCGTGTATAGTTTCAGATCTATTTTACGCGTTCTTTGAATTCTAATCTTTTGTAATTCCTCGTTTCTGTTAGGATATTTAATACATTTAAATACATCTCCTAATTTCAATACATTTGGATTTAAATACATATTACGCACGATTGTTGCAGTTTTGGTATAATTTTAACCACAAACACAATTCGATCACAAAACGTTGATGATAATAATAGTTAGTATACATGATGATAGTATACTACATGTACTTACATTTATAGTTATAATATATTCAACTATTCATGGAGAATCTTATTTAGCGTTGGTCATGCATATTTTAAGAGAACAAGTCTGAAAATATTTTGAACTGTCACCACTTCTCGCTGACAATCCAATTATATGTATTACGCTCCAACCCTAAACATGAGTTCCCAAAATCTGGCAGCAAGACCGCACATATAAACCGCATAAAGTCACACGCGTGAGTTTTGGTCATCAAACCCAAAGAATGGAACAGGATTGGATGAGAAGGGGTCCCCACCTGGGGGAAATATTTTAATTTATGACCCTCGCTCGTAGATTTGATGGAATATTTCAGATTTTACACGCGAAAGGGTCAAACCTGTTGACAACTGCCACAACGAATTAATTTTACCGTGATGTTTGATGGGGGCAACGCGAGGGGAGATCGATGATTCTTGGCTATAATTACCACAGAATATTCCCAATGTTCATCAGAAAGCCGATTTGTTTCTGGGTCAACTTTTAATGCTCCCCAGAGAGCATTGAAATTGAATTCAAATGGTTGCACCGTTGATAAGGGGGACTAAATTGGGCACGGAGAAATTTAGAACAATTATTTTTTTATTGTAGCTGGATTTTAGGTCTAAAAATTCAACTATAAATTGATTCATTTTGTACAACGAATTTAAAAAGATTGAGGTTTTTATGCTGTAGTGGCTAGATATAAAGAAAATAAGACTTTTTTGTGCTTAATCATAAGGTAAATTGAATTAAAAATTTTATAGTAAGTTTTTAAAAACTACAATGCTAAAAAAATATATTACATTTTGTTTTTATTGCTTTCTTCACGGTAATACATTTGCCACATATTTCTAAAATCTATTCATCTATCACCATCTGCCATATTGCTTAATTTCTTCTTAATGTTTCTTGTGTCATAAACAATATGTATGTGTGCCACATTTTATATTTAAAAGTAACTGTAACAAACTGATGGATTTTAAAATTTCTTTCTTGTTGCAGCATGAAATCATGATTACGAGAAAATGCTGATAAAAATGTCAATGAACATTTTTCTTAAGTCTCAGCAAATTCGTGCAGCCTTGCTTGTGGTAAGTATATTTTATACGTACATTTAAATAATTTTGTATACCATTTTTGATCAAATTTTTGTGAAACTAATTAAGTGCGGGGTGTAAATTTCGTGCTTGTTAATTTTATGCTAGAAAGAAAATTTGTTTTGGACAGAAAAATCAGTACATATAAATTGATGAGAAATAATGTAGTTTAATTAAAATAGATTGGAAATGACAATGAAATTCTAAACAATGAAATTTTAAACTATTCTAAATTCTTGAATTAAGCTTCGAAATTCTTAAAAAGGGGTATTTTTAGCAAATAAATATGCATTTTAGAAGGGTAGGATATCGATTTATTTTAGTAAATATTTATCATGTACTTTGCAGTAAATTTTTAAATTTTTCTGACCGTAACATCGGTTCTATATCGAAAGTGTTGACAAAATTCTTAAAGGTTCCTTTAATTTTGTCACACCTATATTTATGCTTCTAATTCGTAAACTATTTAAATTTCACTTATAATGAACAATTAATTAATTTCAGTAATTTATGGACTCATAAAATGTATACATCTCGAAAAGAAGTCAGTTCTAAATGAAAAATTGTTCCTTGGGGCGTTTAGCACTAAACCCACTTTTTGGGGCTTGAAAATGGTCAGATTCTTTTCGCCTGTCGTCTAACCAAAGGCTACCCATTTGTAAGCCAATTCAATGGTCAAGAGAATTACGATGTATGAGGCGTGTCAGTAACTTGTTATTTGTGAGCACATTACCATAATGTGTTCTATTTGACTTGTTCGCATCCCCCTTCATGACCATAGTATACCTTTGGAAATCACTTAAGAAACTCGTACCATAACCGCCCCCAAATAACCGAGAGTTCAGCCAGAACGTTTTCTTCCTGCGATACCAATCACATCCCCTTTGAGACTTACATGTATCCACCATTTTTGGTTGTTGCCTCGTTGCCGATGGTCTTTGCATGTTGTTTCGGCTTGCGTGAAATCGCAAAATCAATCAATTCGATTACGCGTATGAAATATTTATAAATATTTTATGTTAAGCTCATGTTCGCATTTTTGCCGGTGACCGTCCATCCTGTCCCTCCGCCCCATCTGAAGTTGCTTATATAATTAATTCCCCCTGCGGATGCCTTGGTTGTGTATTTGTGTTTGTTGCCAAGCGGCTTCTCCTTTCGCCTCAAGTTGGTTGTGATATGTAAATAATGCTCGGAAGGGTCTATCCGTTTGATAATTAATATCATTTAATGTGGAAAGCAACTTGATAAGGGTCAGGGGAAAAATCATCTTGATAGGAAAAATCAATTGAATAGTGAAATGTGTTAAACCTTTGTGAATCCTTAGGTATGGTTTTTGGCAACAAAGCAGACTAAATAAAAGGATTTCTTGGTGCCTTGTCGATCTAGACAGGTGCTTCTGTTGTTTCACTGTTAGAGCATAAAAAAGAAACCCTAAATATTGAGAATAACTCTACTACTACACTATTTTTCTAATCTACTCTAGATATATACTTAAATTAACTAAATCTGGCTTGGGTACCAGATATAACGATATAGATATAACTAAAAGCGCAGCAGACAAAACCAAAATCGAGTTTTATCTCTTGTCCAAAATTTCAGTGGCATTGTGTTAAAATACTCTGGTGAAGTACTTGCTGCAGTAACGTCTTACTAACTATAAGACTGACAATTACCATAATTTTACCATATCCATGGTAAGGTTGAACAGTAAAGTTCTGAACTTACTAATAAGTTTCCGTTTAACTCAGTTCATTTAATCAATTTGATTGTATTTTAGCATTAGTTAGTCAATCCTCGACTAAGTTAAAATTTATATAAAACTCGTTTTTTATTTGTTTAATTGTGTGCTCTTGTGATTCGCTTAACGATGCAGCAGAACAGCTGCTAGTTCTACAGTTCGGACATGGAACTGACAAAAAAGCATAACATTTTCACGCAAGAAGCATCCAAATACACAGAACCAGCGCTGTAGAGGGGAAAATTGCTTGGTATTAATCATTTCTGGACCGCCCGCACAAAGCCGCAAATCCTGTCAGCCGCACGGCCCACCAAATGTGTGGGCTCTGTCTGTTTGCCGAGGCGGAAATGGGAGTCAGTGGTTGTCCTTTTGCGTATGTGGATGTATGTGTCTATGTATGTGTTTGTGTGCCTGCTGGGCCGAAATAATTGTTAGCCAAACGTCCTGCGACCGTGCGTTCGTGTCGGAATGTCACGTGATTAGCCTCACATGCCGCAGATGGAGCACAGAGGAGAAGGCAGGAGCAGGAGCAGGAGCAGGAGCAGGAGGAGACCTTTATGGTGTGTATGAAATTATGCGGAAATTGTTGCATATTTAAGTGGGCACGCGTGAATAGCTCTTAAAAAGTTTATAATCACAACTTGTGTGACCGTTTTGCCATCGCTTATGATCCCAAGTACTTACGGCACAAAGTTGAAAACTTCATGATTAGGCCAGAGTCCATATAATGCAAAAGTTGGAAATTTAAATATTGATTTTATGTACTTTAAATCGGTATAATAATTTTTGTGCTTCTATGGTAACTGATACAATAGTTAAGATTGAGTTTCTTCATATATACAAAAAAAAAGAAGAAAGACAAGAAAAAGAAAAGGAAATGAAGAACTTAATTTTAAATTTTAATGTAATTATCCATATTTACAAGTCCAATCAAAGCTTTAACCAATTAGATTCGGTTAGTTTAAGATTGAGGAAAATATAAATAACATTAATAACATATTTTCATTAGAGTGACATAACTATTCCTTAAACTATTAAGCATTAAACAAGAAATGTCTTTATTTAAGTAAATAAAATTGTGACGACTAGATCGAAGACTAACATAAAATGGATGGAAAGTTTTTCCTTTGTTTAGTTATGTACCAAGAGTGCTGGAAAATAAACTTTAACAGCAATCGAACTTAAACGATTTGTCTTGCTTTGCTGATCAAGTATATATTTGTATGTATCTACTGTATCGATTCAGAAGAGCCTCCTTCAGCCTCTTGCACACCATTTTGGCTGGAACTAAGCTATAATACTCTTGTACCCTTTGGGTTCCAAGCAAACAATCTACTAAATACATGAAATCCAATACCTAATAATTCCCAATTTGGATTTTAAAAATGTCCCTGTGAAATAAAATCCTCTGGCATGAACCGTCTTCCCAAAAATAAAACATTAATTTAAAGCCATTTTAATTGAAACATTAATATGCATACATCTATATATATATGTGTGTATATATAATGTATAATTGAATTCTTTTGTTTACTCATTTGGCTTCCTCATAAAAACGTTGAGTAATTGAGCCAAAAGTAGCAGCAGAGAGAGTCAAATAGAAAATGCTGACCGGAGGGGTAAGGGGAAGACGGGGGCTTACAGGATGGACAGGGCCATAATGGAATATATAAGATGCTGACTTCTCGATTCCATCTCGCTTCGTCGTTTCTACTGAGTTGCCTTTGACTAGGAACCAAGTCAAATGCCATTATTATTGGCGTGCTGCCGAGGGAAATTCAGCGGAGAGAACGGGAAGCAGGGCACTCTCAACTCCATATAACAATTCCTAATGTACGAAATATTTCATGATTTCAGCAAGTTTTTGTGGACTTTGCTCAGCTTCCACTTCGTTCTCCCCTACAAGTTCGTTTCTTTCACTTATTCTCTCACTGGTCCTTATACCCTTGCAGAGGATATTACACCATTTATTATACACTTGGAATGCAGTAATCGAAAGAGAATAGTCCTATATATCCCATGGATAAGATCAAATTCATTCGAAAGCATATACTTTTGTACATATCAATACATTTATGAATAAGAATTCAGTTTTTTACCATCTTAAATATTGTCAGACTCGTTTCGCTTTTGTATAAATATTTTAAATTTTAAAAGTTAAGCTGCGCTTTCGGGTTTTTCAACTCTCCTAAATATATATATATTTTTTTTCTGCAACTTTGGCTAAATCTTGTATTTTCATTTGTCCATTTGTATTTATTCGATTTCAGCCAAGTTAACTTCGATTTTCTGGGTTTTCTCGTACACACTCTCCATGGCAATGGCCACGTTAAGAGGGGAGGGGGTAAAATTTCGTTCCGCGACATTGTTATGTGCTTGATGGCCCCTTAGGGGGGAAGCGGGTGGCAATGAGGCGGCAATTCCATTCCGTACAGAAGTTAAGTTAGTTGAACTTTCAGAAAAGGATGGAGAGTATTTAGAATATTCCAGAATTCTTATTGTTCCCATATTTGGGTATAGTTCAAACTTTACATTTCCGTTAAATCTTATATATTTAATATTATTATTTTTATACGATAGCTTTCAAGAGAGAATTCTACAATTGGCAAAGTAATTTTTTTTCAGCTGAAATTATTTGTTTGATAAACTAGTAAATTTGTTAAGCTATATTTTGATATAATTTCTTAACCTAATAGATCTAGAACCTACAAGTCTATACAAAGAAAAATTACTCATATATTGATCATAAGGATGAAGGATCCATCTAATTATAATTAGTTGCCAAAAGAACTGATTTTTGAAATGTTAGCATACTTTATCTAATGCAAATTTTGATTATTTATTTGTTTTAGTTTTCTGGTATTGTATTATAATTACCTCTTTATAAGAAGATAAGAGCTACCTCTAAATATTACTTAATGAATAAACAATAATCTTTTTATATACATACTTATTGATAATACGAACTTTAAACGCTAAAGTTTCGCAGGTGTTGGAATACTTTTTTGTTGGCCAGTGTATAATTTTAAAGGTCTCCCGAAATCGCACTTATATTTGCCATAAAAAATATACATACTGGACGAACACATTTACAAACATCTTAGTAGAGATAAAAAATGCCAGAAAAGAGAGTTTTCCATTTGTAGTAATTAATTTTTATGTTGTTCAAGGGACGCACACTGGGTCACATGAAACAAATTTCATGGAACATGAAAAATTCTACTTTGCTAAGAATAAATGTTATAAACCCATGGAA